CCTGGCGACTCTCAGCGAGGTGCATTGGTTTTACCTCCATTCGAGACTTCTAGAAAGAGCAGCGAAGATGTCGGACTTTTTGTACCATATTTTGATCGGCCTTGTCGACGCGCAGGTGTGTCCTATAAATCTAAAACTCCCCGACTTCTATGGACGGACTTGAACCGATAATTCAGAAGGAGGAGTTTTTGAATCTGCTGTGTTTATCAATACCACCAAGCGAGTCTTCAGTCTTCCTCAAGGGGTGTGTGGTTTTGAGAAACTCATGTCCGTACTGTGTCGCTCGTTATTCCTTATCAGCAACCTGTTGAGTGTTCTTCTATTGTCTTATTGTTGTGTGCGTCGTTTTCCAAACGAGTTTTTGGTGCCTTCCGTTCAGGATAAGTCCTGTAATTTCTTCTCCTCAAGTCCCAAACTGCTTCGTCGGTCGTCCCTTGGTCCCTTTTCGTCTCCTACCTCGTTGGTTTCCGTTCAATCCGGATATTTCCTGGCCCGTCTTTGTACGTTTCTTGCCCTTTGGGCCTACTCAGAAGTCGCAGCTTGGCGTACCGCAAAAAGCCACGTGATGCAAAAACAAGCATCGGCATTTTTGGAAAGGAAGACCGCGACGTCCTTTCCAAGGCGAACTTAGCACGGACATTGCATCCGAAACCGTTTTGCAAGGTCTGCTTCAATTAACGATCCGCGGGCCTCTGCGCCGTTTGGACGTTGCACAGAAAAGGAATCGCTTGGGACGACGGACGAACACGTTCCTAAAGCCCTTCAAGCTCTTGCATCATGGGACTTTCATTTCCGAGTTTTCATCCGAAGAACTTCATTCGACCCCAAAATTGAGAGGACTGTTAAAACTCCAGGTGCGCCACAAGAACCTGGTCCGCCTTCTGGGCTCCTGCGTTGACGACGGCGAGCGGCTCCTCGTGCTCGAGTTCTTCCCGGAGGGATCCCTCGGCGCCCGATTGCATTACGCTTCCCAGGGGAAGGTCGCCTTCCTTTCGTGGGCGGAACGTATGGCCGTCATCGAGGGGGTCTGCCGCGGGCTGACCTACATGCACCATGACATTCACCCCCCCCTGATCCACCGGGACATAAAAGCGGCGAACATTCTCCTCCGGGGGGGGACCAAGGGCGCGTGCATCGCGGACTTTGGACTGGCGCGGCTTATGCAGGTACGGTTAATTGTGAACGTAGGAGTTTTGGGCCCTCAAACAAGGACGGTTCTGGGCTGGTTAGAAACTGGTTATCTGTCCGGTAACCAGACTCGGGCGTTCACGAGCCCCTGAACAAGGTCAAAGCCCGCTTAACTATCCAACAACCCGAGCGTCAAGTCCGGTAGTTAGCCTGGTTAGTAGTCAAAACTTCCTGTGAAAAAGAATTTGTTTCTGTTAACCATCATGGTCTAGACTTTTGCGTTCTTTCGGAAGATGGGTTTGCAAACTTTCGGTTGGTGGCCTCAATGGAATGCTTCGTAAGGCACCGGATGCCCACGAGGGACCGCTCGCAACGACCGAAAGCAAGCTTCTCAGAGCCAATCTGATTCGAGCCAAGAAGAGATGCCAGCGTCGGATTTTGTTTCAGTAAGTCTAGGATTGACAAGCCAGGCGTGCAAGAAAGATGCGGGCGACTGTAAACATCTCTGAATCAAACCACGGAGGAAATGGCAGAGTGCAAACGGATCCAACTGAGGCATTCTCGTCGAGGGCAACTAACCTGAAAAGAAAGCCTGTGTTTTCCTGCACTTTCTGCAGACCGCAGTCCAGGGATCACTCGTCCGTCACACGATGCGTCACGGAGACGCTTAACCCGCTGCGAGACGTAAAGCAACGTGGGCCTTCCGCGTGGTTATTGCCGTCCGTCACAGGATGCGTCATGAGAAGCTTAACCCGCTGCGAGTCGTAACCTTTCTCGTGGTTAACAGCCCGGGTTTGCTGTCCGTCACAGGATGCGTCATGAGAAGCTTAACCCGCTGCGAGACGTTACTTATCTGCGTGGTTAACAGCCCGGGTTTGCTGCCCCTGCTGCAGGACGACGAATCGGGAGGTGACACGTCGTCCGCAGTGAAAGGCACGCTGCCGTATATGGCGCCGGAATACATGCAGGGGGGCTACCGCTGCCTCTCCCCAAAGTGCGACGTCTACAGTTTCGGGGTCGTCGTTCTGGAGTTAGTCACGGGCCGTCCGGTGACTGCGCGTTTCGAAAGGGGGGGGAGGGACATCCCCCTCGTCGAGCTCGCGGCGTCCCTGGTGCGCGAGCAGAAAGCGCTAGAGATGATCGACCCCGCGGTCTGGGACGCGTTCGACGTTTCCGAGGCCGAGTGCTGCATCCAGATTGCGTTGCAGTGCCTGCAGAGGGATCCCTCGCACCGACCGACGATGGAGCAGGTATGTTTCTCATTAGATGTGTCAAGTAAGCCCTCGGTTTTGGAAGCACCTACCCTAACACCAAAAACCTAACCCTCAAAATCACCCGCTCTGCACCTGTACCCACCCTAAACCCCCATCTCGTCTCAGGCTAGTTATCTTATTTTACCTAAGGCTTACAATACTTAAATTGAAGTTTCGTGGAGCAGGTCGGCATTCGGCTCCGGACGCGCGGGGCGGAGCCCCGGGGGAGTGAAGTGGGCAGCGAGAGCCCGCACGATGTGTTGAGTGGGCTGACGAGAGGAGACCCCGGTAGGTCGATGGCCGGGTGGGATACTGGGAGCTCGTCCGGTTTCTCTTCAGGGGCGTACAGGTTTCTCACCGCGAGATAAAAGAAGGTCTCGGTAACCGGGTCATGCTGCTTTCGACGCTGATATGACTGAACGCTTTGATCGTTGTTTGGACCGTTGCAACAGTGGATTTCAGTTAATGGGCGATCTGCCGTGTAGGCTTGTTTGTGTTGCGGATAGTGTTTTTAAACTACAAAAGAGGAGCCAATATTACCTACAATTATTTGCTGATTCCACGTTGGACTAGTAGAGGACTCCGAGTCGATAACGTAAGTCGTGGTACCGAAAGCAAAGGTTGATTCTATTTGTGAAACGGGTCCAAGTAATGTCGTTTGCAAGCGGTAACATACTTGCGTTGTAGGACCTAGATTTGTCAGAGGCTCTTCTACGCCCTAGTACGAAGACTATATGATTTAGGCTGCACTTGGAGCAATATCAGTCGGTTCAATCAGGCCATCTGGTTGATTCCGTCAGCGTTAGCGGCGTCCGGCCGGTCTCCGTCCTATACATGGAATTGCGACGAAGTTGCGCACGTTCACATGCATGATGCAAATTGCATTAATACGCAACCAAGTTCAGGCAAAACTCAAAACTGTGGCACGTTTAGTATCACGTTCAATACTCCGCATGCTCCGGTCGTCCCCAGTTATGCTGGGCTCGTTGTCATTTCGACTTTCCTGTTTTTAGAGTGTACAAAGAATACGTGTTAGTACAGGACATGTGTTGCACGGTCAATTTCTGATCGAAGACATACCTATACGCGCGTGACCGAACTGAACCGTCCGACTGCCTTCATAAATTTCATTGTTCGTGGCCTCCGGGCGAAACCTGATCATGATTTCGCCAATTAGGATTGCGCATTAGTTCGCGCATATTCGCGCAAAATTGAAGAAGTTTGCGCAAGCTGGCGAATTAAATTTAGCGCGGCCGCGCGGCGGCGCCCGGGCGTTAGTAAACTGCCGGTGTCAATCGGATTTTGGGTCCAGTTAGCAGTTACTTTTGCCCTCTTATGAGCAGAAGGCCTTGGACGCAACTGGTAATTCAATGGGTTGCAGTGAGACCAATACCTATTTTGGCACCATGTAATAGACTGAGGCGCCCGCGAAGTTGCATTATTGCGTACAGACAATTTCGCCAATTTCGCCAATTAGGGTGAACTTACGTGTCAGCAATTAGGTTGCGCGTCGAACGAAAACCTCCGAGGTCATCCCAGGTTCTTCAGCCAATCGGAGGCCTGCTTTCCATGAATCTGGGTTTATAAGAGGTTTGCTACACTGAAGTGATTGTGTCGCCTACATTTATCAAATTTGCATCTTTTCTGCTCAAAGAAGCCTTGTCGGCAATTGCCACCACACATGGCCATTGCCCACTTGCTTTGGATTGAGCATTTTGGTGCATAATTGGGTGATATAGGGCGATCTGAAGGGTTTGCTCCAAACCTCTGCCGAAACCAAGGTTTTCTGAACCACGTGATCTGACAACATAAGAGGGGGGGGTGGTAGGTTTTCGGTCGACGCGCAACCTTAGTGCATGTTTGCGTGTGATTTTCAAAAACAATTTCGCCACGATCATTATTCATAAACGTACAGCATGTGTGACTACTTGATGGAAACTTCAAAGGCATGTGCGACTCGGCTCACATATGGGACGCCGGGCCCGGGCCGGGCACGATCGCAGCCTTGTGCATTGCCATAGTAGCCGGATATTCATGCAGTCCCGGCGATCCTATAGCTAGCTCCGAAGTTTCCGCGCAACAATTCATAAGGGACTGATGATAAATTGGATACTATAATAAGGGTGCGCCGTCGGTGAATTATCTCGATCGTCAATATCTCCATATGGAATTCGCCACACTTTCGCCGCGTCACGTCACTGGCCTAGGCGTGGTACGCACAGATCCCACTGGACCTACGTGAGCGTCGAGGCGTAGTACCATGAGCATTTCAAAGTTCTCGATTGGAATTCGCTCAGCCTCCAAAAACTAAGTGACCTAGAGGCGGCCCGGCCCGCTGTGAGATGCTACTGTCCTGCGTGTACGTGTATACAAGTCCAAATCATCATGTCAAGATCGGATGGCCGGCGCGCCGGACCCGCGGGCCAGACAGATCCTGCATTTAGATTCGAATGGCTGCCCGAGCTGATTGGTTACATCAGCTTGAAGACACTACATATCAACCTGTCCATTACAGGCTTCGTACAGCGCGTGCCTAGATCCCGCAGGTAAATCTAAGCATACCATGGGGCTTGATCTACCGTACAGGCTATGCGCGCTTCCTTAACAATTCACGTCCTTGCTAGCTAGATATGCAGAGTCATTTCTGAAGGCTGCCCTTCATATGTCGATCTGTAGCGGCTATTCCCTAAGCGGTGAATATTCACGAGTTCTATTGGGTGAAGTCCTTCACTTTGATTGTTCCTTCCATGGTACCGCTCGTCCACCTTACGCGACAGCCCCTGTGCAACTTGACCCGTGCCCTGCCGTGCATCTGCGCAAGCCAAGACATTAATAAGAAAATCTTGACCTCCGATGCTCCATTCTATTGCTGAAACTTCTATCTCCGCTGATTAATCTACCTGGTTCTGATTAATTGTCTCATAAGAGGGGCCCGGTTTTCAAGAGCAACCCACGTCTACTACAAAAAGTTGATTGCTCAGCACGCCAGGTTCTTCAGAGCCACAACGGTTCAATCACCCGTTCAGCGCACAACCGATCCCTGAGTAAATCACCGTTAAAGTAGGAAAAATCCGACTTTCAAGACTCAAAAGGTCCCATGGAAATTCTCCCCTGGTCATGGTGTGGCTGGGTTCTGATCCAAGACTTCTTAACAGTGCAATGTTCTAACCGCCCAAACCTCACCCGAAACAGTGGTTGTCCGTGGCAATGCGGGCGCCCAACAGACTGGCGGTGGAGTCAATGTCGAAGATTGATTTGGGCAAGCCCGGCGGCATTCCGAGCGCAAGCTGCTGATTAAAGTCGCAATCGTACACGGTTCCATCCCTGCAGAAGGATCCGCGTTGACCGGAACGGGTGAGCGCTCATCTCTCCGGACCAATGGGAAAGCTTACTTCGATCACGTGTGATGCAAAGTAAGACCTGATACAGCGTAGTGTACAAGCTGTACGCGGATCGAAGCAAATGCGCCTAGCCATTTTTGGTCGAGGCGGAATCTGAGGGGCAAAGAACGAACGGAATTGACACGTGCCCGACAATACATCGTTTGAGACAAACGTACGAGTCAAAAAGCTCTCAGCGGAAGCTTGCCGGTAGCCTGTGATGGGATAGAAAAAGAAAAGGAAGGACGACATAACAACGGGAGATGCGAGGAAGGCGAAAAAAGAGCTCCGACTTGATCGTTGAGTGTGAAATGGCAATTCAGAATTTGACGACCTACAACGCGTGTCCACTCGTCACACTGACGCATTACAATGAGGAGGAGGGGATGCAGTCTTACCAGCCAACACTGATGAGGTCTCTGCACATCACCGAATCCGCTGCGGCCGGGTTGAAGTTGTTTACCTTGAAGCAAGAAGAGAAGGAAAACTCAACCAGTTGCAAAACCTGGATTTCTTGAAAATGTAACGGGGCAGAACCACTTCATCATCGAAATAAGCGAAGCTAACGGCCTATCGGCAGTCAAAGATGCAGCGACTGAAAACATTCAAAGGCGTGCATATTAAATGTCTGAAATTCTACGCACTTGGAAAGCTTGTTTAAAAAAGGCCTCACGCTCCTTCCGCTGCAAGGCATGATACGTTGCAGTCAAAGTCGGCCTCTCCATAAGAGTGCATCGCACGAACAGTCGACAAAGCAGTCCAAACTACACTACGATCGGTACTTGGCCGCTGCAACGAAGAAATGCAGCATAAGTGAACCAGTCTCTCACCAGTAACTCCATGTAGGCCTGGAGTTCACCCTTCCGGGAGAGGTGATCCGCAAACCTGCAACACAAAAAAAGATCGGATTCTAAGCCAGCCGGCAATTCTGTCTTTGTGATACTTTAGGAAGCCCTGCACGAAGTCTGGGACCTCGAGGCGAAGGGCTGGGTTTCCACCCTGACTGGCGACCGCGGTGAACGCCGCCAGTGACGTCAGCAACATGGCACCCAGCATCAGCAAGATGCGGGTCCTCTCGTGAGCTCTGGCAATTTCTCCTTTTTTATCTCCCTTCGACAACGGGCCGCCTTCACGAGGCCGTAAACCCAAAATTATATAGATGAGCCGTCTTCCATGCAATAAAGCGAGACCGTAGCCGAAGTTTTGAATATCTAGCAGCCTCCAGGAATCGTTGTCACTCCCTTGGAAAAGCTAGAACGAGGACGAGGGACCTCAGAAGAACTCAGAAGCCGGGTGACAACCAAGGAAGGGCGGGAGACAGGCCCACCTTTTGATGGGCATGTTCGTAATCGTGAACAGGCTGTTGAAGGTGATGCCGTACGTCTTGCTGAGCTCATCCTGCAAGCACGGTGTTTGAACATCAGCACGCGTCATCATGCCTAACACTTTTGCTTTTCGGACCCAGATAAATGTGACGAGAGGCATCCAACGCTTGCAGCAAGCACTCAAGTAGCAGCGAAGGGTACCAATCTTCGCATACAACCAATCTTCTGGATGAAAACAGAGAAAATCTTTGTGACGTGCGGACTCGATCCGTCAGATCGATCGACCTGGTGATTCCACAACTTGCTTTGTCCGTTGCACGAGTTGCAGTCAGCAGAGATTTTAACATGGCACGGGAGACGAGTTTGGACGAAGCTGGCAACGGCCATCAACGTTTTGTCTACTTGACCGTATCGTCAATCTCCCTTAAACTCGCAATCTCTGCAGTCGGTAAAAGACCCTATCGCTTCTGGACCTGAAATGCTACTTCGAGAAAGTGGACGCTTAGCCAAAGCCAGCTGCTGAGCCAATCACAGCACATAATACAATTTCTACTTGACTTGCCTTGAAGAAGCAAGCTTCCCAAGCGCGATGCTCTTCGTTTGTCAGACATTTGACTATTGCTCCCAGTCAAGCACGTACCTTGTAAGCCGCTTCCAAGCTCGACTGCAAGGGCGGTAGGAAACCCCCGATGGGATTGTATACGAGGTCCAGTAGAAGACCGCTTCCTTCCTTGCCGTACCTGCAAACAGATTGGTGATTGGTCATCGGCTAAGCATAGTAAGCATCCCCTGCTCGGGAGATCGACAGGTTCTGCAGTACGAAGCTGAACCAACTCACAGGAATTCACATTTCGCAGATGAGTGCTGCAGAATGTAGGTGAAAGGGACAGCCGTTTGTGCCTTCCGGTTCGTCAAGGGCGAGAACAAACAGAAAGAACTGTCCTTGGTTCACTGCAAGGGCGGTTGTCGGGCAATTTCCATCGGGTTGCTATTGGGTGGAGGCGGAAGAAGGAGCTCACCCTCGGGCATTGAGATCCAGAAGCGCCTGTATGCTCTTCTCAAACACGCCCCGCCCTCGCTGCACAGAAGCAAAGGCCGTTCGCTTAGTGGCTTTCAAGCACTTCACAGGGGCATTTGCAGCAGCCAAAAATGTTGTTGAACACTTCAGAAGCACAAGCAGATGCCACGCGGAGATCTTCTCTAAACACAGACCTAGCTGGAAACAGAGGTGCCCGATCGACTGACCATTCTGGCGAAGAACAAAGCCTCATCCAACTCCATCAAACCAACTTCACTGCCGTCACTACTGTCCTACAAGACCCACCTTCACATTTGACAAGCGCGTGATAGCAGGGTGTGCGAGCACCTGAACAGGCACCGTATCTGGTGTCGAAATTGATATACGTGGCTGCTCTGAATAACATACAGAGATGCGCCGACTCGAACGACTGGTGCCGTACCTGGTCGTCAACGTTTTTCGGTCCATAGCACGGCATCGACGCAACGATCCGCACTTGATTGTCCGCCAGAAAGTCGACCAGATCCTGCGGGAAAAGAGGTCCAAGGAATGCCGTTAGCGGCTCGTCTCAGATGCTGAGAGTGCACGTTGCCCAGAAGCGACCGCTCTAGACATTAATCTGTCCATGACAGCGTGAATTGAAGGTCAACGATTTGAGGGGTCATAAAGGATCGACTCAGCAGGTTTGAACTTTGGTAGGAGAAGTGTGATGCAAGCGTGACAGCTGAAAGACAGACGGAAGAAAGATACATGGAACCCCGCATTTCCAAGGACAGACGACCAGACCAGGAGGTAATCGAGACGTTGCAATCAGCAAAGTACCGCAGGAGTAAATCGATTCAAAACCTTAAATCTTGGAAAGGACTAATGTTAAACTGACGCATGGCAAGCCTAGGTTTGATGGACTGACCTATAAAGATAGTCAAGTGCCAGGCTTTTGAACACCTCGCTGGCCAGTTGGAACAAGAAAAACGTATCGTCGAGAAGACAAGAGGCTATCCGGATTCTGAACGAGAACCTGACCCTTTAGAATCGGACCGGCGAATCCATCATCTGACTGCCAGTGTGAAGCAGAACGCAACGGATGGTCTTCAAACCTATCCTCGATTTCCTTGGAGCGCCGCTCGAAGCCGGATGCACACATCGAGTCGACCACGCAAACGGACTTTTCACCAGAGGATGCCCCAGATTTACCCCTCCTTGTCCAATCAGTTCAGTCTCACCATCTCTAATGAGATCTTTGTTTGAGCGCAGACCTTGACTCCAGCTCTGAAGACAGGTTCAAAACTGAAAAAGTCTGAAGGCAGATTTGATACAGGAAGTTTCTAGCAGAGACGAAGATCAAGCCACAATTACTGACCTCTTGTCCCGGCTCATAGAGCACCGTCAGATTGCACCGGTCGATAACCTCCTTTCCCTGTCGACGCGCCTCAGTTACGAGGTACCTGTGAGCAAGGAACTTGCTGATTGAACGTGCCTGAAGAAGAGGACTCGGTAGGGAAAGAGACTAAAATGCGAACCCACTTTCAAAAGCAGACTTTTGGGAGACTCCAGCTGCACGGCATATCAGGGAAAGAAAGTAAACTGGTCAGTCTGGGCCCCGCAGTACTGTACCAAGTTTCTGCATCGGTTTTCCGTTGTCACATTAATCGACCCGCATCCGCATCCATCAATCTACTGAGCAAAGCAGCCATTACTATCTACAGATTCAAAATTAGTGCCGTGAGGGCAGACAAAGTTCTTAAAGCACTCGGTCGAAAGCTCAAGCTAGGGTCGCTTGCAGCGAATCACCAATGTCAGTCCTCAGGAAAAGGAAACATTGGTCACCTAAACTGAGGCTGCAACTCTGGAGCGCCCCCTGTGATATCCACCGTGTGGATCTCGGGGCTGCGATCCAACACCTCAACGACCTTTCTCGCCACCCGCTCGTCCATCTGTTCCGTTCTGAGGGGGGAGGACTCCACATGGCAATGCGCGCATGCTTGGTTGCAGTATAGTCCGATGTTGAGCTGGAGCGTCGTGACTGGTTTTCGAGTGAGCGGGGATAGGCCCTGCACAGTCAGAGAGTGAAAAGATGAAGAACAAACTTGTTTGGAACGTACGTTTGGCTGTCTTGAGTGTCCTAGTCTGGGATGAGTGAGCGCTGCAATTCATATGGTCAGAGCGGCCTTCCTTCAACTATCCCTTGAGTCGCTGGGGCTCAACTTGGGGCTTGCGGATGAGCTGAGCCCAGATTCAGAAAGCAAATGAGGGAAGGTGTACTCAAATAAGGACCTTGCGATTGAATGTAGAGGAATCTTAATCTGAAGCTTTGACCTGAATTGCTAGGAAGGTCCTACGACAAGGTTGACAATCACTTTAGTTTTAGTTTGTGGCCAATCATTACTACAACATTATGTAAGTTTTTTGTCAGAAAGCATCCTTGCCGTCGATTGCTATCCGGACAAGTCCCCTCTCGTCAACTTCTAACCTGTGTGACGAACCCCCAAGACTGCAACCTGGATCTTCCAAAGGAATCATACCAAACGCTGATACAAATGCTAGATGTGCGGCAGACCAACTACATTTAACTGCTGGAAGTTTATGTCACAGTTCAGTGGGAGATGCAAGACACACCTGTTCCTTCAAAAAGTGGTCAAAAGACGGGACCCCCAGGTTATCCAGGGCCCGTCGCCGCTTCTTCCGCTCCTCCGCTGTTAGAGCCGCCTGCCCCCGCTCCAGCAACGCTTGCTTCGTCCTCTGGAAGTCAACGTCGGTCTCCATCTCCTTCAGTGTTTCGGGCACAAGTGACCCCTGGATGCGGAGAAGGGGTTAGGGTCGTGTCAAATTGCAGGGAAAGAAACGCGAGATAAACAATCAAGTGCTTGCCCTGGTTTCTTTGTAGAGATACCTTCGGCTCTGGGGGCACAACAGAGCCTGGTTGGAGACAAGTTTGAAGTAAGCAGTGTGCTGAACCAATCGCGTAAACCCTCACAGTGTCGCACAGGAAGGTGCCTATCTGCAATCAAAACCCCAGATCTTTCTTCGATTGTTCGTCCCCTTTAAAAGGTTGAATAAGGACATCAGGACAGATTAGAGCGGGTGGGCCCGAACCTGGGGCGTCATTGCATGCGGCTCAAGCAGCTATTATGGACTTCGCTGCCTTGATAGTGCTAAGGCAACAACCTTCTTCTCGAGAGTGAGAGTAAGACACCCACGCTGACCGGTTCATTGTACGGTTATGTACAGCATCTCTCCTATCATCATCAACAGGCTTAAGTTGAACTGAGCACACCTCTCTCGCATCAACAAACGCCATGTTACGTGCAATTTTGAAGCAACTGGCAGATGCAAAGAAAGAGTCAGGCAAGTGGAAAGGCGTCACTCAAAGTGGTAAGAGATGAAGCACGTTTGGGTGCGTTTCCAGATGGACTTGGATGTGATCCAACTTGCCAACTAAGAGTCCATTCTAACCGTAGTAAAGGTGGTGCCACTGACCTTTGTACGTTCCCGAAGCTCCATGTTGCTCGCGCTCACTAAGACTGGTCCACGTCTGGTCATCTTTTCCCCTTCCCTTGAGGGCCGCTCTGCGCAGGGGCATAGCGGACGAGCCCGCCAGAGCTCCGACGCAAATGAATCTGAACTAGAGAGTCGGTGGGGGGCCAGATTACGCGATCCGTGATGGAGCGCAGTGCTTGAAGAAGCCATTCTTTCAAAAGAGGCGTCAATACTAAATGCTGTGCCCTAGCTAGACTTTGGCAAGGAGTGCTGTGAACATGAGAGAAACTGCTGCTGCATGAACTCGGCTGAACTTCTGAAGCTTGGATAGTATTAGAAATTCAGGTCTCTGACGGCGGCCACACAAACTTGGTAAATTTTGAGTCTTATGCCAACGACGTATAAATACGCCTGCGCTCCGATCTTGTGTGATGTAAATCTCATATACGGTACACATAGCCGTGGATCAGGGCGCAAATTGAGGGTTCACGATTCACTCACAAACGTCTTAAAGTTTTTGCAGGTAAAATGTACGCCTTGCCTACCGGCATTCAAGATCAGGCTATTCAGGTCTGGAATTACCAAAATATGACCGATACTGGTCGAATATGGGCAAGAATCATTCATGAAAATATGGACCCTTCTGTCACTGCTGATTCCCTCACGATGAGAGATTCAAAAAGAGACAGAACCTGGGAAGAGCATGAGAGGGCGCAGGCAAGAAGGCAACGTTGGAGGCCTGCAAAGATTTGCTTGTCTCTCATACAATCTGTAGGACGGTTCCATCTATGAAAGAGTAGTGCTTGAATGTGCTTTTTAGAAGAGATGAGGAACTAATTGAAGGGTTGCTTCGAGAAACAGGTTTCTGAGTGGCCGCCTGTCGGGGACATGTTAGCCTTCTGAACGGCTAGATATGGCCGCAAGCGGTCACTTGCTTCTCAACAGCCAGGCTTTTAGTTGCTGGAGCGGGGCCACTCTCGCTGGCCCCAACCAGGTTCGTTTTCCGGACGGCATCCGGACAGTGCAAGCTGGTCTGAATCTGAGCAAGCAACGTGCGTGTAGGAGATGCTGTGGGAGAGAGTCTGGTCCGAGATTGAGTTCGACTTTGGAGAGGCTGCATGGGGCAGATGCAAGGCAAGGTGTCTCTAGTTGGATTGCAGAGATAGCAGAGGTTTCGAGCAGGCAATGGAGGGCAAAGAGGGGTCGTGGTGAGGTTTCTCTAACAGAGTCTTTCTCTCGATTCTTCCATGTTCTTATCTTTGAGAGCGCATTCCTCGCTCAATTCATTCGCAGTAAAGTTTTGAAGCCAACGGAGAGCGAGATGTGCTCCTGTCTGTCGATTTTGCGCCCCGCCTCGCTCAAACTGCTTTGCAGTGAAGGTTCAAAGTTAACAGAAGGTGATATGTGCTCCCATTTGCTGGTTCTGCTGCTTGGTGTGCAAGCCACCATTACCACCGTTGACCGTCAAAAAGGCTTCAAGTCTGTGCTGCAGCTCGAATGCAGAGTAACATCGCTCAGGAATTTGTGAGCAATGTGGCGAAGCCATCAGATGCTCGGATTCGATGTGCGCTTCACTTTGCGATTGCTGCAGAAGTATTCCATGCTTTTCTCCGATTACTTCATTCTAGTGAAAGTGGACTTGTGTTACAGCGTTGTGAAAACCTTTTCGTAGTGAAACTTTTCTAAGGCCATTTGGGACCACATTGGCGGAGCACACTGGTTGAGTTTCGTAGGACACTTCACTGTGTCGTCACAAACATGACGACAAGAGCATATCAATGAGCTGGTTGATGTACAAGTTGTGACCACCTTTTAACTGCAATTTCGGGTTCGTGGACAATCCTCAACTCAAGAATGCACCTTGTGAGATGGGTCACAGAAATGTGGCCCAACGATCTAGTTTCTACTTCAGCACTTGACTGGTCAGTATACTCCTTGCTTCTGCTTGGTGTCTTAAACATTTTTTAACGCGGTACGGGGTTCATGATCCCCTCCCTTGAAGGTTGCTGCCATCCTGTGTTGGGTAGAGACTTGAATGGCCTCCTGATTCTGGAGGCAACGCTGTTTGCACTCCCCATCATGACACCCTGGTTTTTGCAGTCGCGGCAAGCACCGCCTCTGCCGCTACGTCGGAACCTGTTGCAGCCCCCTCTACTTCAGGCTCCACTCTCCTCTTCAACAAAGACCAGGTACAGGTTCCTGAACTCTGCTTATGCCCCATAACGGGCTGCTTGAGCTGGTGGGTTTGATCTGCAAAATTTGTTGGGTGTCTGACGAACGTCGTTCGTAGGTTTTCTCACGACTGTCCTGTGTATTGCCCAGCCACTTGGGCCGATTTTGCGGCAAGTATTCCATCTGCCCTTCTATGGCACCGGTTCAACCTTAAACAGTCAAACTCCTACCAAGTACTTTGTTAGAGCACAAACCTTGCTGCTGATTCCAATCACTTAATGCGGCGGAGAGCTTACAATCAGCAGCGTCGTCTGTGGCCTCAAATCATTCTTGAGAAAGCTGAAACTTTGGCACTAGAACCCGTTCTTTTTTCCAGACCGGAAAATCAAGGGCACAGAACCAGACAACCAAAAGGAGAAGTGAACTCTGTAGCCACTGCACCCGCCACACCCTTGAATTTGTTCCGTTGCCCCATCCCCCCAAACTGACGTCATGCTGACATTACCTGGCCCCTCCCCGCCCTTTTGCAGGTCCTCGAACGGCTGTCCAACAACGTGCACCCCAAGGCGCAGAGCACGCACAAGGCTTACCGTCATGCTGACGCCACCTACCCTTTTGCGCAGGTCCTCGAACGGCTGAGCAACAACGTGCACCCAAAAGCGCAGAGCACGTACAAGGCCATGTACAGCAGCGTCCTGGGGGGCATCGTGACCGACCCGGCCCTCATGTTCATCCCCCTGGACGACCACGGGTTCCACCGGGGGCACGCCGTCTTTGACACGGCCGAGATTTACGGCGGGTGAGCATTTCAGTGTTTAGAATTCACAAATCAGTAATATTGGAGCGCGTCACCTTATCAGCATACGACGGGTTCCTCCGGGGGCATCTTGCTGTCGTTGAGACGGCCAAGATCTACGGCGGGTGAGCTTTACAACATTCAGTTGGGCGGAGGAGGGGAACACTGAAGGAGTTGCCCGCCAGTATTCCACTTAGTGCGAGTGCCGTGAGGATCCGACGGGTTACGGCAGAAATATGCTGTCTTTGGCAGCCGAAATCTATGAGCAAGTGAGCTTTTAGCATTTGGAGAAACAAAGACTGGGAGGAATGGAGGCCCAGAGTCTTCTGTTTCCCGCGTTCGCCAAGGGCATACCGTCTTTAACACGGCGAGATCTAGGCTTGAGTTCAACAATTGCAATTGCTTCTAAGGGAGGTGACGAAGTTGAACAGGGCAAGCTGTCGTATGAACGGCCGAGGTTCGTGGCAGGTGGGCTTTACAGCGTTCGGAAGCCAGCCAGTGTGGGTCTGATATTCCCAAGCTCTCCGTGACGTGAGGATTTGACGAGTTGATCAGGATCACGCCATTCTCCGCGTGGCCGAGAGTTACAATGGGTTTGCTTTACGGAATCTGTTTGTCAGGAAGTCCAGGTTCCAACTACTTATTGCAAGTCCTGCCACAAGGATATGACGCTTATCAGCGGGCTCGCCCATCTATAAATTTTCCCGCATGCTCGCCCACAGTTTACTTTTCGGTTGGTAACTTTCTTTCTCAACGCTCGCTCACAGTTTTTCTACGGCTTATACCCTTCCTCGCACGCTTGCCGCCCGCAGTTTCCTCTACGGCCTGGACCCCCATCTGGACCGCCTCATTAGCAGCGCCAGCAAGGCGGGGATACCCCTGCCGTACCAGCGGCCCCAACTAAAGCAGCTTCTAATAGATACGGTAGCGGCGTCCGACAGCTGGCAAGGCCAGCTGCGGTACTGGGTAACGGCGGGGCAGGGGGGCTTTAACCTCTCCTCAAAAGAGTGAGCGCACAGTCGGCCTTCCTCACTGCATATTTGTCAAAGCTGGCCACCTGAATTGCTTTGATCTGCGCCCGATCGTGGGTTTGAGTGGTGCCCATCTACAAAACTTGCGCCGTCAAGGTACTGGAATTTGAGCGATTGCACAGTCCAGCTTCTGCAACGTTTACCGGACATTTGGATTCCCGTTGGCGGCCAGGTTTACGGGATGTTAATAAGTTTCGTCGCTGCGCGTTTCGCATGCTCATCAAGCCGGCAGGACGTTGCCTGCTCACGAAGTACCTTGTTTTTCGTCCTGGCAGTTTCTCTTCTCGTGTTGCTTATGTGGCGGGAGGGACATTTGAGAACAACGGATTTTGCGCCTTGGCCAGTTGAGGAGCTTGCGCCTAGCGGCGGCTTCAAGTCCTTCCTTTGCACAGGCCGATCAGTGACTGTGACTGAAGAGGACAAAACGGGCGCATTTGTAACACGAACGGCCATGAATGCAGGTGCATTAGATCAAACCTTTATGCGGTGGTTATCTCGGAACGAAAAGACATGGACGCCATTGCCGCCAGAGGCGTTCGAGTGGTAAGTCCTACCTGCTTTCCCTTTGTCGTGTCGAAGAACGTCTATCGCTCTGTAGTGAAGAGCAGGATTCCGGGGTTGGTGTGGGGGACACTGTCGCAATCTCTATGGAGTTGTTTACCAATCGCCGGTTGCATTACGATTGGAATGTACATAAGATATGTAAAATGCCGGCGACTCATTATTTCGACCCCAACAGCGAATGCTCCGCTTCTATCCGTTCCCTGTTTTTCAGACACTACTCTCCCGTTCGAACCTTGCGTGATCGCTTTTTCATCACCACGACATTCCGCGTTGCAGACCCCTGTCCTTCCCGAACTCACATTCCCCTCGAGGATCTGACGCGTTTGTTTCATGCCGGTTCCTAGAAACTCTTTGCCTGAGGACGGACATGAGAACACTCTGACTTTTTCGCTACTTGTGCAGATCACGTCCCAAATCCCCATCAAGGCCCCCCAGTTCGCGACGGTCAAGTCCACCAACTACTTGCCCAACGCTCTTGTTATGCAAGAAGCGGAGGCCGCCGGCGTCGATTATGCCATCTGGCTGGACCAGGAAGGACTGGTTGCGGAAGGGCCCAATATGAACGTAGCGGTGAGAGGAACGCAACTTTTGAGCTGACACTTGCACAGAGCTTTTTGCTAGAAATAGCAATCTGTGCTCGGGCGGAATCGTGCTGACACTGAAACTTTTAAGGTGACACTTGCGCAGAACCATTGGTCGCTGAAAACCAGATTCTACAATCTGTTTCGGCTGAATGTGTATTTTGCGGTCTCTGTTATAGCCCTGACGGCTCCATTGCGATCTTGAGTTTGAATGCAACCCATGTTTAACGACGCTGCTGGCATTGCCTGTCGGCCAGTGTTCTTCGACAGGCTTTTGGAACTGACATTCCTTGCTCCTGCGCAGTTTGTAAACGACGAGGGCGTGCTTCTCGTACCCGCTTTTGATAAGGTGAGGGCCGTCTGTCCCTACCTCGATGAGGCAATGCGTTCCTTCAGAACTTGTACGGTCTGACCGTTGAGTACACTCATAATGTCCGTTTGCTGCTGTCAGGAGTCGCTCTCAAGTCCTGTCCGTTGAGTCTAATATACCTAGCTTCTCCATATTGAAAGCCTTTCTTGTCCTTTCTCCACCTTAGCATGTTCACTTGCATCCTCGATCCCGATCGTCCATATAGGCTTCTCCAACCTTCCCATTCAACCTTCGTCGCTTAATCGCTTCAATTTTCGCGTGTCTCTTCCAAACTCCAGAAAGCCAGTCCCTACATGCCATCAGCCTTTCTCTTCCTCCCCCCTGACCTCCTCCCTCACCTTTCAGATCCTGCCCGGCATCACCATTCGCAAGCTGCTGTTCTCTCAAAGGAAAACGTTTATTCTTTTCCCTCACATCACAACCTTTTGCTCTTTTCCCTCCCCCCCTGTTTTGCGCTTATTCGCTCACTCCCTGTTCCAGATTTTGCCCGGCATCACCATCCGCAAGCTGCTGTCGCTAAAGGAGGGCCTCACCTCCCCCGGCAACTCCCAAAACTGCGTCGTGGTGCGGGACCCCTCCGCGGGCCCTGCCAGCCAAGAACTGAGCCAGGAGCTCTGTCCCACGACGGAAAACGGCTCCACGACAGGGCCTATCCTGAAGGCAGTCAGGGTGGGACCGGTAACGGTAGACGAGGCGCGGAAAGCGAAGGAAATGATGCTCATAGGCAGCGGGGTGCTCGTCCTGCCGGTGGTGGAGTGGGACGGACGGCCGGTGAACGACGGTGAGAGGTGCCACGTGGCGCATTTTAACTGGAGCACGTGCTTGAGATGGGCGACTAGAATCCTAGCTTTCACCGTTGTTGCTTTGTCGATATCTTCTTGCGTGAGGCCCAAAATGCCGGCGTCTCCTCCCAATAGATTGAGGGAGTCATCTGCGGTGTAAGAGGAATCATAAAACAATTGAAAAGAGGCGGAATATCAAAGAACTCTTTATACTTCTTTGTCGGAGGTAGTGAAGGGCTCGTCCCCGAAAATGAGGGCGAAGAGCGTCACGGTTGTTGCTCCTTCGCGACCAGAATGCAGTCGACTTTACTGTCGTTGGCGATACGGAGGTTACAGTCCCTCATGCAATAGAACGATCTTGGCAATCTGTTCCGTTTCCAGTTGGGTACGACTGGCGTAACGACTGGCTTTGGAAGCGTGAATCAAGCTACGAGGTAGAGGCGAAGTTCTTGTTTGCTTTTGACATCAACTCCTTTCTGTTCGGCAGGCGTACCTGGACCCATTGCAATGCGGCTTAGGCAAATACTGCACGCGGACATGGAAGGAGGCCTTCCGGGAGATCGGATACAAGTGCCTTACATAGAACCACCTGCACTTTAGGAGACTGTACATATTGGGTTCCGCTTCACAGACTCTCGACCTCTGATTTTTGCGAGGATATAAGGCTCTATCACAGTTGCTGCTGAGCAATTTAATTGGAAGTCAACCGAGAACATGCATTCAAGTCGGCAAGTTTAGATCATGCTCACGCAGATTGTTTGGATCACGTGCCGATGGCATTGGATGTCGGGTGCTTGAAGTGTGGACCATGACACTCAAATTGATGGTACGTGACGGCCTGATACCGGCCGCCCGCTTTGAAATCAAGCTTGAATATAATTGTTCTATGCAATCGTAGATTTCCAATTGGTTCCGAGTTCAAGGTGGTACGATAGTTTCCATGGGGTGCCCGGGCAATGATATTTAGGATGGGATAAGTCTTATTCATGTATGTGCAAGACACGATCCCGGATTCCGTTTTGTCTTTGTCGAGGTGCCAGGTTCTGGGACAATGGGAACTTCCGATGTAATTTAATTACGCCCTTAAGCCACATTCAGCCATTAAGCATACGTCCTCATTGGGGACTATTTTCCAAGTGCTCTCGAGCTATTGTATATAAGCCCCAAAACGAATGAGGTACAAAAAGTTGGAGAATTGAGTGTGCAGTTTCTGCTACGGAACTCCTGAGCTTCGTTGAGTTTCTGGGGTCGAAAATCCAAATCGTTCACGTTGAAGGCGACGAAAACATCATTGGAGAAAGCTGGCCGGCCTTGTGCCCATCCTTTTGTTGAGCAATCCATATTACGCGTACCCTACCCAATTATGAAAATGTTGAAGATTCTGGTTTCATGGCCGGAAAGTGCTCTCATGCACAGCTAGAAATTTCATAAACATGTAAGCGCATGTCACTTTACGATCGGCGTTTTCTGAGAATTGAAACAAAGGAAAGATTAGTAAGCTCGTGCTTGTCGTGCACCTTTTTTGATCCAAAAGCTTGCTGATTGAGAGAGTGTACCTTCTTGTCCACCCCTTGTCACGCTTCTATTCCTTCGTGATAAAGAATGGATCTGCCAAACTGAAAAAGAGAAAAAGAAGTGCCCGCCAAAAAGAATTGCCCGCCTTCCAAAAAGAACCGCCTGCCAAACAGAATGCCTTCCAAAAAGAAGTGCCTGCTAAAAAGAAGGGGAAAAGAAGTGCCTGCCAATTCGAATGCCTTCCAAAAAGAAGTAACATTACCGGAAAGAAGTGCCTGCCAAAAAGAGTGCTTCCGGAGGGAATCGAACCCACGACCTTGGGCTATATCAGGGCCCAGGGACCGGTGAAGGCCCCAATGTGGTCACATAAGACCCACGCTCTAACCGACTGAGCTACGGAGGCTATCAAAATCGTTCGGCATCATTCGGAAATGCTCCGTAAATCTATATACTCCAAAAGAAAGGGGGTTTGGGTTTTGTAGATTATCAAGTTCATTTGCGGCCGTCGGCCGTGCCCGGCTGGGGCGGCCGGCCGTCTCCCGCGGCCGCGACGTGTCCTGGCAACGCCTACTACCGTATACTTGGTATCATGCTAAACTAATCTACGAGGTGATACTGAACTTCGCCTACAGATCGCCGGGCACCAAGGTTGCCAGAAGCGTGGAACGAAGTACCGAGGCTAACTACCGGGATGCCGGAGTGATTGTTGTAGGAGTTTTGCATGACCGGCTAGCGTGATAGAATCAACCGGGATTGACGACTAGGTCAACAGCGATCACCGGTACGCCGATCGTTACTAAACCCGAGTTCGTAACTGAAACATTCCAAGATATCAAATCTACTTTTGTCTTCTTCCCCCGGGTCGTGAAATGCAGCGACTTTCTGCGTGCAGAACACACCGAGACCGTCGCTCTAATAAAGTTCCCCGGGGCAGAGTTTTCGACGGCCTCTCAAAATGGCTGTAAATTCAGTTCGATGCAAATGACGTGAGGTAAGATCCGTCAGAACATTCTGTCGCTAAACTCAAAATTGCCAGGGCCCACGGCTCCGAATCCGGCGGTTTCGACGATGAACGAGTTTTTATGTAGAAAGAGGGCGCGATTCTATGGACAACGTGTGCTGAGAAGTTCAGTAAAGAGAATCATAGTATCTGGTCGACCGTGCGGGATAAGTTTCAACTTTCAAGCTATGATAGTAATACTTATTAAAATGCATCTCAAATGAGTCAAGTGGCATCCGTCCTGACAAGCTTGGCATCTTGACATTTTCAACATGGCGCAAGACCAGTACTCAGTGCGGCGATCATTTGAGTTTGTACTATTAAAAACTTTGGCAATACTCCTAGCATCTTTGCCTAATTGGCGGGACCCAGTGTAAATCTGAGTAACACTATAGTAAGGCCTATCCTGGGCCCGGAGGTTGCCAAAGTTGCCCGCGACATTGCGCGACTTTCCGCGATTCTGCGCGACTTTACGCGACTGCTCCGCGACTTTGTTTCGCGATCTTCGCGACTTTCATCGAAACCTTACAAAGCTTTGACAAACATGTTTTCAAGAATGATTTGCATTTAGATATTTGCAGATCTGCGCGACGTTCCGCGACTTTCCGCGACTTCGCGCGACTTTCGTCCGCGACTTTCACCGCGACTCTGCGACCTCCGGGCCCAGGATAGGCCTATAGTAGGCAGGGCAGCTGGTCAGCTGGTTGTTGTGTCCGTAATATGTGACCACTGATAGATCGATGATTGAATGCAAGGACGTGTGGACGTGGAGACGATGGACGGTTGCTTGCCGGACTGTATGTGGCACAATGGCTAGTGAACGCAAGAGGCCTCTGCTGCCCTTGTCGCGATATACCCTGCGTACGCGCCACCGCTAGTTCCTAAGAACTAACTTGCTATCCTCTTTTGGGCCTGCATAGTATGAGGACCCAGACGTACACATGCCCATGTTCCGTACCGGTAAAACGGTCGGACGGAGTAATGAAACCATATGGATCGGTTGGTACTACACATCATTGGGGACTTTCTGAAAACGATGACATAATGTTTGCATGGGAATCGCGGAATTGCCCGCGAGCGCGGACCGGATTCATTGATACCAAGACCGCAAGAGGTGTAGCACTGTTGGATCTATCGCCTATGATACTAGGATTGAACCGTCCACTATTAAACTTGAAAAATTAGTTGCAGGACAGTAAATCCAACAGCGCAGGGCGTGACGGACTTGTGAACCTGGCATTACAATGGATTTTGCCATCTTGTGGGGGTACGGGCAGAGGACGCAGTTACGCAGGCAGCCCTTGACTCCCGGGGCGGGGTTCAGAAATCGTTCAAATGGAATGAAGTTCAATGTGGCCGGCCGGGCACAAGCGTGCAGACAATCAGCCTTGAGGTGACATAAGCGGCCAGCAAGTGCATGAATCGAACTCTATCGCCGCGTATCATTCTCCATGATCCGTCAGGCTGTCCGGTCAAGTCAGCAGCATGAGCAGACAGCATTTGTACGTACTCTTTGGCAGATTTTGACAGCACCGTTTGCGACACCAATACCTTCGATCACACAGATTCATGGATTCTGCTAATCCCCTTTACTTGTATCAATGGATACTCAACAGCATTGGCATGAAGGATGAAAGACAAGTGATTGAATCCATTGCATCGGGAGACATTTTCGCAAGTGTTGCCGGAGTAAAAGCAAATGTCTTTGAAGACTATTCGCTCGCACTTGAAAACGATAGTCGAGAATTGCTGTCTACAACACCTCAGTGCACTTTGATTTTGGCCAAAACCTAGAATGCCCGAGTACGGACGACCGTGTGGCGAAAAGCCGCGTTAGAGGCCCGCTCAGCCTAGCGACCTTACTAGACGCTTTACTTCCTCCGCCCCAAACACCTTTACTTCTCTTCTAAGGAGGCCTAGCGGCTTTCCGCCCTCGACCTGAGTCACCGAAGGCATTTGACCGACTTTGAGAGATGGTGGAAAAGAAATGACCTCATCTCCTAAGAAAGCCAAGCGGATTTTGACAAGTGGCACTACTCCTCGTCCACTTCGTCCTCGTCGTCATCGTCAAACTCGCCTTCGTCGTCGTCTTCGTCATCAACCTCCTCCAGCTCCGCCTCCCCGCGTTTCCGCTTATTGCTCGGGCCACCTACGGGGGGAATAACATGCTCATATATCAGCAGGACATAAATTGTCTCGAAAGAGTCGTGTCTGCTTCTAAACCATCATGACCTGCTTTTTGAAGCGAAGTCACCGGTCAATCTTCCTTTTTCACGTTCTGATACAGCCATCAGCAACGCCATTTTGTCAAACAATGCTTTAAGGCCGGGACGATCTCTGTTTGGTAGGCGATTGGCCTTACTACCAGAAGATAGGTCCCCACTTATCAGTTCCTCAACACTGGTTGCCACCAGTACAAGAGTCGTGCCGCAAGTATGCATATGGGTTGACATCAATTACGCGTCTCAACCCCTCTGCTCTTAAAACCTTGCTACAAAGCACATAGTCGAGCAGAAATAGCAAGAGCCGCTTTTACCTCAGGGCATATGCGAAAGGCTAAGCAGCGGGGAGTAAAAGTAATAACCAAGCACTAAATTGACTAAAGGATAACCCAAACCTTATTTGCAATCTGCCCATGACAACGCAACTCGTTGTTTCATGGACAAGAAGCTCGGACGATCAATGCTGGCTCGCCAACGAGCCCTTTCCGTACGTTCTCCCATACAACTTCCACGCTAAGCCCTGCGGAGAGGATGACGCCCCCTCGTTGCGGAAACAGAGATCGGGAAGCAGATCCCCAAAAACAGAAGCAAAAAGATTGAAACGATCAAAACAAAGACCGTCTCTCCCAATTATCAATACCCATGCTCCCCGTTGCTTGTTTACAAAACTTGACATGCCAAGACTAATCAAACTCACTCAGGCCCCCCTCTTCATCGTCATCCTCCTCCTCCTCAAAGTCATCATCCTTGTCTGCCCCCTCCGCGTCTTCGTCGAAATCGCTGGCGTCTTCTGCGTCGTCCTTGGTCGGCTGTCCGTCACCCTTGACCAGGTACGCAGTGTTGTACATCTCCTCCTCGTCATCGTCCACGTCATCGTCCTCATCATCGTCTTCGTCGACCTGCAGGATTAACATTGGGGTTAGAAGGGTTGCAGAAATCTTAACACGCAAAATCTTGAACATGCATTGAGCATTTTGCAGAGTGGTTGCTTGGGGCTGATTGTAGGGTTTTAAGACCTGCATCTTTGGCTTTTTGCCATGCTTGCCTTTCCCCTTATTCCACAATACCTGCGGGGTTAAGAGACCGGGTTAGAAAGGTTTTCGTTTAGCCCATCGGATCGAGGCTGATGCGAATTAGTTACGGAGTTTCCGGATCAGGCTTTCCCCCGTAGTTGGTCTTCTACTTTCGTTCTTTCATCTGCAGGGTTACATGTAGGGTTAAGGAGACTCGCAGGCCGGTTGCAAAAATTGCTCCATGTCTTCCTCGATATAGCACCTGCCGAGGTGAAAACTACAAGTTAAATTAGAGAAGCTTGGCTTTGCTCATGCATGCCCCATCCAGTGCACTGCGGAGACGTCAGAATAAGGTTTGAATTGGGGTTTGAGAAGACTTGGACACAAACCACAGTCTTTCAGAACTCGAAGGATATCAACATTTGAGCTCTCTGCCCAAGCTGTTTTCATTCGCCTGCTATCCCTCGAAGGAGGGGTTCAAACCTGGGGGCTTTGGAAAGGAACAAGGAAGTTCAGGGTCCGCTGCATTCCGGAACTCAGAATGTAAACCGCATAAAAGCAAATCCAATAGGCCCTGCAAAGCTAGCAGCAATACTTAGGAAGAAGGCAGTGTTGACAGCCAGGAAGGTATTTGATCCAACCATCTGCCAGGATGCAACCTAACCACCACCTGTGGTTTGCAGGAGGGATGCAACCAGTGGTGTTAACTAGCGAATGGTTAGCAGAAGCACGCAGACCTAAAACCACTGCTCAGGATGGGGGAAAGCTAGGTAGAGCTACCGGAAAGGGAGGATGCATTCTACACAGACAGACAACAGCACCAACAGTGAATGCTTCATGTCTCAGGATAGAACATTGCTGGAATCTTCTTCTCTTGTCTGCCTTAGTGAAGTTGCAGCCTCGAGCGCGCTCAACCTCAAATGCCCAAAGCCAGGAATATGATAATTTAGAGTCTTGCAAAAACTGCCTTTTTCGCGGAAGCAATTAACCAAATCAGGTAACCGCACATTGCTCCAGGTTTGGCTGAAAAGAATACCCTTCCCAATTTCATATGACCAGCAGAAATGCTGTCCTTCCCGCTCCCACATACAATCCAGTGCTTCTGCTTGCCCTCACAGTATAAACCTACTAAACCAGAGTGGCTTAACCCTTCTTTTGCAACCCCCCTGTCTTGCAGATTTTTGAAGCCTTGAACATAAGCGGCTGTGCATTGCCCTCTCTCTCAACATATTTACAGGCTATATGGGACTTAATTGGGCCAAAAACAGGGCAACAGCAGGCATAATGGTGCCCTCCGAGCAGCAGTGGTTTGTAGATGGCGCGACAAAGCGCAGTGCTCACATTGAGGGCTTGCCACAATTAACCAAAGCCTACACAGCAGATAACTGAAAGCATAAGCATTTGCAGCAGGGGCAAAGCATCGTTGGCGCCCTCACCGAAGGCGACCCTTGCCAAAGTGGAGGCAAAGCAAGCGCAACGAGGTTGTCCTCAGAAGTCAGAAAACAGAGAAGCGTCGCGCAAAAACACTGCCAACATGAGATGCTAGATCTCAAAGCTCCTTCCAAGCAGCATCGCTGTTGCAAATTCATCTTTGGAGAGAGAAGAAAAGTGTCCAGGGTCTGAATCGAGTAGCAAACAAGGGAGTAACTCTGCGCTGATTGCCAACGACCTAAAACTACTTTCACCTGCTAAAACAGGTGCTCACCCACCAGCAGCATGTGTGGTGGGACGAGGAGATTGATGGAACAAAGTAAAGTCAGCCAATCCGGTAGCCGGTAATCTTCCGGTTCCTTCTATTGCTGCAGTACCGTGGCGCCTGAATGCAGCTTTTTCGCACCGATTCCAGTGCATAGCACAATTGGCGCTGAAAATCTTGATGCCAAAATTGGGGGACTACCAAACCCAGCAGGACCACGACATGCTCTCAGATACGCCACTTGTGCAGAACAAGGACGAGCTATCTCTAATTCAGTCAAAAAGCAGCCCAAGAAATGCAATCGAAGCACATTGGTGGCACCCTTCCGCTTTTACCGAAATTACCACCAACAGCTGGGCAACAAGAGCTCTCCGCTCACCTCCTCCTCTCCCTCTTCCACACCGTCATCCTCCTCCTCAGCGACCCCCCCTTCCTCGTCTTCCTCTTCATCCACCTCATCATCATCGTCGTCCTCCTCCCCCCCCTCGTCCTCCCCGTCAAACTCCCCCCCCTCATCCTCATCGTCATCCTCATCATCCTCCGCCCCCCCCTCCACATCCTCCACCTCTTCCTCCCCCTCATCGTCGTCATCCTCACCCCCGCCACCCCACTGACCGCCAATCGCTTTACCCCTGACTTGCAAATCGTCGTCCTCGAACTCCTCCCCCTCCTCGTCATCCTCATCCTCATCCTCATCGTCATCCCCCTCTCCCGCCACCTCCACATTTACCGCTACCCCCTCCTCTAACCCCCCGTCACTTTCTTCATCCTCATACTCGTCCTCCCCCTCTTCTTCCTCCTCCTCCTCGTCGGACTCGGGCTTGTCGTTCCCTTCCTGATCCGCCCCGTCCAGGTACTTCACCCCTTCGAGCATCTTGAACACTTGCTCCCGGTATCGCGGCTGCTGAGTCACGGGGCACTGGTAAAAGTCGAGCGTCTGCAATCTCGGCAGCCGTTTCAACGGCGCTAGATCCTGTAGTTCCGCCAACCGGTTGTTGCTCAGGTCGAGAATGATCAAAGCACTTAGGTGCGCAAGGTGCTCCAGGCCCCCTGCAATGCGGTTGTCGCTCAGCGTCAGCTTCTTCAATTTCAAGAGCGAAGGGAAGCCCTCCAAGCTGCTCAGCCCCACGCTGCAGACGGAAAGATCCTGGAGGTTCGCGTAAGCTGCAAGTGGCCCGAAGCTGTTGATTTTCAGCCTGCTATCCAAATTAAGGATCTGCGTATCTTCCGGGCGCCTGGCCCCCGCGGCCGCTCTCGCTTGCTCTACAGCGCGGTGCCAAGAGTCCATGCAGGACGTGCAGGCGTCATCTCCTATGCAGAATTGAACCCATCAGACGTGCCCACCCCTCTTCAAGAGCTTTGCAAACACTTGAAACAGAAGTACCTGGTGAAACAAATTGAAACAAAGTTTCCATGTGTGCTCTGATCAACGCATTGCCCCCAGCTGTCTGGAACAAACTTTTGAAAGCTGGCACCGGCAGCTCACGAATGCACACATGTGAGCCGATCAAAGAGCTCATCCCGCGAAGACCTTGCACCGTTGGATTCTCCACGGCAACGGTTCAGATGCGTTCACATGCTTCGGCATCAAGTCAGAACCTTCAAACCTCCCTGGCAGATATGCGCGTGCGCGGCCGCGGTGCGGGCTACCAGCCGCGCACGGATCGTCGCGTGCGGCGTACCGTCATGGTCGCTGCGCTGCATGCCTGTCTCGACGCACAGGCAGACATCCTCAGCAGAATAGTAGCACTTGTGGCAGGTGCTTTGGAGACAACCCTTCAGAACCGGGACAGAGCACGGCCTAGGGTGCCTTTCTGCCGACATCCGTCCAAAAGTTGTTCAAGCTTTCATCAACTTCAAAGACGTCTCTGTCAGTCCGACGGCCACTGCGACAATGAGGTCAGTTTTGGAGGAACTTCTCACTGCATGATGCCTTTTCTGTTTACTCAAAACTTTGCTTTTTGCCTTCTTGGCGAAGCATTCGCCTCTGAACACTTGATCAGGAGCGCCAAGAGGGAATCAGCTCGACCTGAGCTAAGCTTTAGACATGGAGGTAGCACGCGACCTTGCACGCAGGGTCTGCGCGACCATTGCGGATCTTGCGAACAAGGCATAGAAGTGGTTGATTAATGGAAGCCGGTGAGATTTGTGAAGGGGATGCTTCGATAAGTCTTCTGTTTGCGCAGTCTGCATTCCAATCTTCACCCAACATCTTGTAAAAAGCTACCAACGGTAGAAGCCATCGTTCAAAGTTCTGCAGTTTACTGACGTGGCATGCGAAAAATTTCTCTGGGCTGCTTCTGGAAGAATCCGTGACTATGGCAGTGCGGTGTTTAAGTAGAGCATCTAGCCATTGACTCCGCATAATGCCTTCAGGCTTAAGACCGCTGATTGAAGCCCCGTCAAAATCGATGCTGCTCTTGCTCTTCCTCAGGTCGACCCCGATGTCGACTTGTCATTAGTGAAGGTCTTGTAATCAGGTAAGAGGCAAGGCACTCGCTGTAAAATGACTTCGAGAAAGCTTTCTACTCCTTTTCCAAGTGGCTCTTAACGCACTTCGCTGTCCCTGTGGGTGCTCTTGAGCTTGAGTATCCTGCTTTGAAAGAAGAACTTTCATAGAGGGACATGTAGCAGAGACAGAACCAGAAGAATACTCCCGGCCAATCTCGTGATAATAAATTGTGTCGTTGCATCATTGGCTGCACCATTGACTCAAGGCACAATGAAGCTGGCCAATTTGATGGACACACAGTCTGAGAATGTCAAAAGGGGTTGCATCTTCTCTCAATGTGGTTGCAGCCAGGACGCGTTCGAGAACGGAGAAGAGGCTTGAGGCGCTGCGGAGACTGGAGATCGGAATCAAGCAAACACATTCTCCAGCATGAGGTAACGGCTAACTGAAGCCGCCAAGATCCTCCGACGAGAGTGAGTAAAGGCACTATGCGGCTAAAGCAGCAAAGCGTTGACCCAATAGTGACTTAGCTTAGGTCAATTGTCTAAGCAGGCTTCGGAAATACCGGAGAGCTGGAGTGTAGCATGTCAAATATTACTTCGACTCGAATGCAAGCATCCTATGGTGGCTCCGACAATTCACGCATCCTGTGTACTCTGGTTTGACAGCATTATCGTATCTACAGCTGGCTTTTGAGCATCTGAAGATTCTCGTCTCATCTGTCTTTCTGAAAAAAACCTTTAAAGGAGGGGCTATTTGGAATCGGTGGGCCGCATCTAAGCCGCTTCCTTTGTGAAGCTCAGAGGCTGCTCAAAAAACACTAAGTTAACACGGCTATAGCTGCTTTTGCACGTATAGAAGATGCCAATCTTACCTTTTTAGGCAATACGCTGAATGCGGTTGCCCGTAGAAGACAGCTGATGTTGTTACGGTCGTTTGGGTCAAAGCACTAGTTGAAGCCGCGCTTCGACCGGTCAAGTCTGTCTTCCGAAATGTTTTGACTGGGCGTCACGTTGGTAGTCTTTGCAGGATGCATATCTAGACTTGACTACCCGAAGCTTGACAATCTTTCCATGTTCAAAAGTGAGAGCAAACCTTCAGCAAAGCATCTCAAATTACGTGATCTTAGTGGACAAGGACGCGTCTAGTCCGACTGCAGTCCGTGCAGTCCAAAGCAAGCTTGGGGCCACCACCTCGAGAGGCCCGATCATGGTGCCGTGCGGGCAAGTGACAATTGTTTACGTACGCTTTAAAGCGTTGATGTTCTATATGTGGCATGCCTGCCTTGCGCAGATCACGAGTCCGCTAGCTTGTTGCAATTACTGTATACACTAGCTGAAAATCAATGCATGCTTCCACAGCTGCAGGCGGCTCGCTAGTAGCGCATTATCTCCCTCCAGTGAAGTCAAGGGGGCCGGGTCCAATCAATCCAGTTTGATCCGCAATTCGATCGAGCGCAAGGACGCGCTGCAATTGTCCTGCTTCGTTGAATCAAATGCATGACATCCGCGCGGTAAAGCAAAACTATTACGGCATCATCTACTAACAGGCTCAAAATAAAGCGACCGCAAGCAAGCTTGCACATGCACGTGCATATGTCACAGTGCATTTTACTAAAATATGCCTATATATCGGGTGCAGGCTAGCTGTAGTTCACCCTTGGCTTACATCCTGGGCACAAGTCGGGCACCCGCCGCCAATCATTCCGGCCTCTGAGAGGTACTTTGTCCAGAAGCCGTATGCATAGAACATGACACGGTGCTTGTAGTTTGCCACCCATAGAATATCACGATGGCAGTATCGGGGCAGTATGCTCAAACGGCTACGTGATGCTCTGCAAAGGAAGACTGCAAAGCACACCCTGAATCGAGAACCGCACCAACTTTCATATGCTTAGCAACATCATGTATGATTTCCACAACGGTCGTTCCTGCGACGAACTTCCTGAGGACAACTTTAACAACACGAGAGGGAACCTGCGAAGCCCGGTGATCACCGCTTGACAACAAAGTCGTTCGCCCGTTCCTTGTCCTTTGCGGTTCGCAGCAGTTGCTTGAGGTAACCTTGCTGCTCCTTCTCCCCCTTTAAAGTGTCCCACTGCAACGCAGATAAAGAGGCGTGTCACAAATTGAAGATGTGGAAATCAAAAGAGTCAATTCGAGAATACAACTGGCCGTCGAGCTGGTTTCATGTCGATCACTTTGAAGCACCCTGTCATCGGCAACATTGGCTAAAGAGCGGATCGACATCAGAAATACCGTAATGCAACGAGCACCGGACGCGGCTCGAGATCAATCTGGTGAGAAAACCAGAACCCCGTATCAGAATAGCGCCCGACTAAAGAGTATGAGAGGAGGCTCTCGAATTAACGTGCCTCTGAAACCCACTGAGGAAGCTTCATGAGCGCACACGGTTCAATGGTAAACAGACGGAAAAGCAAACATAAGAAACCATGCTTTGCTTCATTACTCAGCCCGCGGCAATGTCAAGAACGCAGAAAGGACGCACACAACCAACGACAGCAGTTTGAAAAACCTGGTTGACTTGATGCGCAGCAACAGCCACCTCGTCATCTAGACAGGAAAGAGAAGCGATAGCACAAACGAGAAGGACTCTAAGGCCAATTTCCCGCTCGTTCTGATCTCCTTCAGTCGTGGGGCGCAAGGCCGGAAAAAAAGGGCAGTCGCGGGTTCCTTCAAGGCTCGCTGTAAGACTCACATGATTGACATCAATGGACAGCACCGTTCAACCACGAGACAAAAGCAGGTCAAGCACGCGAAAACTCTTATCCAATTCCGCTCGCCCTCTGCTCCCTTCACCCCCGCAGCCCGGAAAGGACAAGACCCGCCATGCAAAGCCCACGTCATCACTCACGTAGTTGAAGTTGATGGGCAGCACCGTCCAACCGCTGGCCGCCAGATGGCGCCGTTTCAGCAGCGTCGCCCCGAGCGGCGTGCCGGTGTTGCGCGCGAAATGGCTGGGCCCGTCGACCTCGAACGCAATCCGTTCCGCCGGAATGGCCACGTCGATGGAGTACTCGGCGTCGGTGTACTCCGCCGAGAACTGCTTGCCCATGTCGCTCAGAGCGCGCTCCAGTTCCAACTAGAAGAGGCGACAGAAGATGTGTCGTTATTTGTCCAGACAGCGAATACAGGGGACAAAGTGAAGAGTTAGGTTTATAAGTTGTAAGGGATAAAGCGGCAGAAGTCCTTCCTTGGATCCATGTGGTGACATTATACGACCAGTGACGAGAAGCGGTGATGATAATCAGTGGAGTACCATAGACGGGAAAACAATCGGCGGGATCGGAAGCTTCAGACCTTTCAAAGTGCCCGCAAAGAAGTGCTTCGAAAACAAAGGGTCTTGTATGGGGGACCTATGATCGCTACCCTTCTGTCTCAGTTGGTGCCTACGGAATGTCCCGTAGGAACTTGTACATAACAACGTCAGCAAACGGTGATCGGTAACAAGATACAACTCCAAAACGAGCGTACCTGGTAGGTGGACACCGTCTTTTCGCCGTCCTTCTCCGCGTTCCACACCTGCTCCGCCTTCTGCTTCAGCAGCGCTGGCTCCAAATCCAGGTTCTGCACGAGGCCATATCTCTCACTTTATAATGTCTTTCTCGTTCTGCATTTCTCCATTTATCCGCACCTTTGGATGCACAGGAGTCGATAGGCATTCAATCCTCGTCATCGTTTCTTCTGGTCTCGCTCTTATCCATTGCAAGTAAATCTTTTAACATGAACGCTCGCATGACAAACAATATGCGTACTAGTCGTGACCTTGCCCCAAACCTACAATCAGTCAAGAATGCGCAGTTCAAGGCTGGATCGCTCGGTATGCACCAGCTTCTACAATTCCCACACTCCAAGACTGTCCTCAGACGGAGATGTAGGTAAAGCTTCAAAGAAACCTGCCCTTCGGACCCGTCCTCTGAGAGTCTCAAAATCGTGTCAAGGGGATAACCAGATAGGATTACAACTGAAATCGAGGAACAAGAACGCAGATAAAGGCGGGCCTCCCTACCAGGTCTTGCTCCTCCAGCTTCAGTGTCAAGTGCACCTGCCACAGCTGTGACATCATCTTCTCATCGAACGCGACCGAGCGCTTCCGCTCGACCTCCTCCCAAATCCGCGCAAACGCCGGGCGCCGGGTCTCTCCCAGCACGGCATATGCCCACGCCAGGTTTGCCACGTGGAGGGCCCCGTACTCGGCGAACGGGTTGCCGGCGCCGAGGCCGAAGAATTGGGTAAAGGACGGGCGCGCGCTCGTGGAGGCCTCGGACGCTCCAGATTCGCTTTCGGACGCCCCAGATCCGCTTTCGGACTGTCCAGATAAGCTATCGAACGCCCCGGATCCGCTTTCGGACGCCAAAGTCGGGCCGTCCGAAGGCCGCAGCGACGCCGCGAGCTCGTTCACCTTCCCGGCCAACTCGTCGACTTGCGCCGAGAGCGCGTGCAGGGCGGACTTCCCGCTAGAGGTGGATACCGTCTCGTCGGACGTCCGGAGCTTCTCGCTTTGCGAACTGTCCGAAGCGCCCTGACTAACACTCGCGCGGGCCTCCAAGAACGAGGGCTTATCCTCCCTACCGCTTCCGTTCTCGATTTCACCAGTTTCTAAGGACTTGGAACTAGAGTCGAGGGTTTCAGGATTTGTAGACGACGGCTCGTCCTCGTACTCCCGCCAAGGGAGCGACCCGCGGAGGGCGCCGGTCGTTTGCTGCGACTCTAGTTTCTCAGCCTCGAACTTGGCGGTCTGCTCCGCGACCCAGGCGTCGATCTCGTCGAGGAACTTGGTGGGTGAGTGGTTGAGCACCGCGCACGACCACACAATCTGGGCGACCTCCTGGGGCCTGTTAAGGAGAAAGAGGGCGAGGATGTGACTCAGACCCTGAACGAAAAAATGATATATGTTCCTAAGGAGAATGTCGTCAGGCTTGCGCAGCCCACCGGTACTGGGCATGACAGCATGGCCCCGTCACACGCAGCAAAGAGTGCAAATAGCACGGAAGATGGGGTGATTGGACTTCTGAACGAGCAGCTGCAGAGCGGACATTCAGGCTACCAGAAGGACACGGTGTAACGGGGGTTTAAGCGCAGTGTGAGGTATGACGTGTAGGCGTTCCCAACAGGATCCGGAAAGGCGTTCAAGGAACGTCCGAGACCCCGTAAACAAAAAAGTACTGCGCAGTGTTAAAAGAGAAGGATTGCCGAGAAGAGAAAGAGACTCTAAACGGGCGCAGTATACGCGAAACATTGTCAAATACCGAGGGTCCACGGGAAGCAGAACCTCTGCGTAGAAACACTCCCCACCTGAACGCCGCAACCCCCCTCGCGCATGCATGCACCAAAACGCCGTCCATCAGCAGCGGCGCCGCATGATTCAGGCTCGCGAATGCGCCCGCCAAGTTCGCCAGGTGCTGCGGGCGTGCTTTGCGCAGTCTCCGGATGGCCTGCTTCGCAACTTCGTCGAGGTAGTCGGAAGGAAGAAGGCCCGCGCCGGCCAGCCGGCTGAGGCCCCAAGCCATGTTGGCCACTCCTTGGGGGTCGCACCTAAGCGGAAACAAGAGAAGAATGATAAGTCATGAGAATTTTGCACTGCAGAAGTGGCTCTGGCCGAGAACCGAGTGGCCTCAATCTTCGGATTGAGGAGTGTGTCAGTGAACCATTGGCCCCAGGCCATGTCCAAGACGCCCTGAGTACCGGACCTGGGGCGAATCGAGAGGAGGTACTGTGTCCGTGGCTCTCGAAGGTTTTGAAAGCAGAGGTGCCTCCTGGAAAGAAGAAGCTGATGTCCAGTATCCAGAAGTGAATCAAAGAGAGAGGGTAGGAGGTTTCGAGGTGCGGGCTTCGGAGTTGCAGGGTGAATACTCTGTTGGTTGGCTTTGGCTTGCGCGTCCTGTTGCGCAGGTCCTCAGTCCCCTGCTCGCGCAACTCTTTAAAGCCTTTTCTGTTGGAAGAGTTCGGAACTTCCGATGAGCAAGCGCAGGTTCTGGCTTTCCTTTCTTTGCTTCATTGCCGACTCTGATTTTTAAAAAACGAGTTTCGGCGAACCCCTCTTAACCCACCTGCCGAGCACCTCGTACGCCATCCGCAACAGCCGTTGCACGGGCGCTTGTCGCAATAGCGACATTTTGTCTTTCCTCGACAGCCCCTCCCGGAATGCGAACCGCCCAACTCTGTGCACCGCCATTGCGATGTTGACCGAAGAAAGAGCGCCCATGGGGGCCCAGTCACGTTCCACCTGACCCGAGTAGCTGATGCCCGCCTCGTCGAAGGCGGCCTCCATGGCTTCCAAAACCTCGTCCATAGTCTGCCGCAAACGAGGCGTGGTTTGAGGAGAGGGTGACGGCGAATCATGTACCGGGAAAATTGGATACTGGTTTGCAGACTCCGTTGAAGTCAACGTAATTAGAGCAAAAGGTGAAGCATCGTCCAAAGTTGCACCCCTTCTTTTGAGGACCTTGTCCGATTTTGCTGAGGTTGGCTCAATGGTAGAACGTGCCGCAAGAAACAGCAGAAATCTTTGAAGCCTATTTACTTACCGCACTGGCACGTTGACGAACTCTCGACTCGTCGATTGACCATGCTTGTCGAATAGTTTTGATGCAAGAAAGGTTTGACGACCTTCATCGACAGGACACGATCATGCTATTGAACTTGCAAAACCCTGCGTCTCTGGTTTCCTAATCAACATTCTCCTACCCGCAGACCGCATCTAGTCACAAAAATCTTCAACCCTGGGATCGTCAAGCCTTTTGCACCTAGAAAAGCGTGGTTCCTCCTGTAGTAGAAACCAACCTTGGCATCCAGTATCCTCTTGTGCAGGTACTCCTCCTGGTTCGGGTCTACGCGAGCCTTCTTCCGCCGCCGCTGCGCCTCGGCCCTCGTCACCTTCCCGAGCTTCTCCGCGAACGTCACGGGACGCGGCTTCTCGATCCCGAGCGCCTTCCAGTCCGTCTCGCCGAGGATGTCGTCACGCCCACGGTCCGCCATCCAAGCCGCCCATGCGTCCTCGGGGCCACGAATGATTCGACCGTTAACCTGGATGAGAAAACGGGTTGAGATTTCTGTTTGAATGTCCAAGCGCTGGGATCGAGGTAATCGAGTAGGAGATGCTGTCAATGGGTCCCTACAGCCAGGGGCAACCTGCCCGCCAATCTAGGCTTATAGAAACGCTTTGTTTCAGTCACGTGCTGCGAACAACCGTTAAGATGAGGACGCGCAATCACTTCGATGGACAAAGCCTGATTGTTATCTGGATTGCAATTTCGGTACCAGACATTGCGCGGACAGCCAAACCATTCGCTTGCCCGACCCGCTTTCTCTCCCACTTGGATCTGGCACTACGCAAATGCAGCAGCTCCCTCAAGTGGTCAGAGTAAGAGCTCTGCGCAACCGAGACTCACGCTGAGCAACTCGTTGTCATTGAAGACCTCCTTCTCGTTATCCCACCGTGTCCGTAGAAGGCCCTTCTCTCGCAGTTTGCGCTTCTGCTTCAGCCGCTCCTTCCGCTCCTCCTGTACATGCAGGCTGCCGAATTCAGTGGGCTGCTTAGCGCCATACTGGCGAACGCATCATTGGAATAAAACTTTGCCGACGTCAACTTTTCGCATGGGTATTGAACGGAGTGTCTCTCATCGACTTGGTTGAGAAAAACGCCTACGCATATTATACCAGCAGAATCATTTGATGCAATGGTGGTGTAGAACCCTCTCGGACCCATCGTTCGCAAATTCCAAGAACTGAACCGTGAGACGCTACATACTCTGAGATGCCTCACAAGAGGAGCTCAATGTGGGTCTGACAGTGATAGATTGGTCTAAGATCGACTAGCCTTTATGTTGATGGAGAAGAATGCCACTGGTCTGATCGTTGAATGTCCAAATGAGTAACCTTAATATGGTGCGTTCTTTGCGCAGATTGCAAAAGGCCATCACTGCCACCACCTCTCAATCGGACCTCAACACAACACTTTCAGCGAATACAACCCTTGGCATCCCGTTGTTTCCCCACACCCCCACCCCTCGCCCAACAGCTCTACACCACAACTTCTCTAGGGCAGTTTACCACCCGGTTAGTAGTGCGCTAAAACCCTGCAGACAAAACTGTAAAATGACTTGTTTCGAAGGGACTTGATATCACAACAGAACTATGCCGAAACCAGGAATCAAAACCCAGAACCCTAACAGCAAGCCCACAGGCACTCACGTCCGCATTTAGATACGACATGTCGATGCGGTGCAGTTTGGCCGACTCCTCCCTGCGCGCCGCAGTGCGGGTTGACCAATTGTACGTCTCGGGAACTTCAGCCCACGGCTTGGGCCACTCCTTTCCAATCCCAAGATCGATGGGGTCAAACACCTCCCCCAGCTTCGACCCCAGGTCGGACCCGTACTCCCAATCGATTTCAACCGGCCCATCCTCTTCCTCCTCATACTCGTTACCACCCTCTTCGTTTTCGTTGTCATCTTCTTCAGAGTCGTCTTCTTCAAAGAAGTCGGCGAACTGGGCGGCAAACGCCTTTGCCTCTTCTTCGTTCTCGAAGCCGTCTCCCAAGTCGTCCTCCTCCGCACTTTCCGCCTTCTCTAGTTGCGGTGCGGCCTCCTCCTTTTCTACCTCTAAAACAGCTGTCCCCTTTGCACTGCCCTTCTTGGCGGAAGCGACCAATTTCGAAGCCGCCTTCTTCTTGGCCCCAGCCCTCACATTGTTGAACCGCTCAAGAGCATCGCAACGCTTCTGCAACCTTTTCAAAGGCCCGAGGCAGCCAGAACTCAAAAGGCCGCTCCGTCGGAAAGAGGCGGGCACTCTTGTTAGGAAACCCGACACAACGACCCCGCCACTAGCAGGTTGTGCTGCAAGCCTGCTGGTGTAAGTGGAATTCTCCCAACCGCAGAAGCAGGAGGTTCGGCCAGCCGGAGTCCTGCAGATCCCTGCGCTTGCCATGATAAAATGCCCGCTAGTAAACTCCTGAATGGCCTGCTGGCTTCAGACAAGAAAAGCCGCCATAGCACTTTCCCATTCTACAATCTCGAGGACCCAACTCCCAACTCCCAACGCTTTTGAAGGTTTCCATGGAAGTCCCAGCTTTCGTTCTGCGCTTTTCAGACTTGTGCTCAGCATTGAACGTGAGTGCATGGTAACGGTTTCTATTTTAGGGTTTCAACCATTGCCGTATACCTTCATCATCATGGACAAGTAATACTAAATATGTGCACGGTGACGCAGGTTGCACAGGACCGTGGCCCTGTCGTAGAAAGTTGCTGAGCGGCTCAGCATTGCGTGGACGTCTGCCAAGGGCCTTTTTCTGGCGTCTTGCTAGCCGCCTCACAGAAGGCTAAGCACTCCATTGAACTCCAATTTTGTGCAATGGCGGCGACAGGGGTCGAAGGCCCTCCTCCCAGAAAGAAGGCGAGGAAGTCAGATGGAAGCGCTGACACACCGAAGCCGTCCTTGGAAGAGGCGCAGGCGGTGATTGAAAAGCAGCAGCAGAAGGACACCAGAAAGAAGGCGGTCAAGTATAACAGGGGCCCACAAACCAAGTTGAAGGTGAGGGGTTTGCAAAAGCTGCGAGAATTGTGGATCGTAGGTTTGTGATTGTGTGCTGCATGGTGCTTTGTGCGGGAGGTTTCTTGAGAAGGTGGTGCTACTGGGAAGTGAGGCTTCGAGGCGGAAAGAAAAGTGTTCGTTTCATGTAGTATATGTTCGCTATTTTGGATACTTTCCACCACCATTATCAAGCTTTGTGTGAATTGCCAATCTTGCAATGACAACAACAAGTTTCAATGACGCAGCTTGGATATTTCCTCCTCATGTACGCTTTTGCCCTGCACATTGATATCTGCGACCAGTGTGCTCCACCCCAGAACGCCCTCACTTTCGTCGAACCGGGGTGCTGGACATTGTGCCCTCTCTATTTTCTCGCATATGCCACCAACGATCAAAGCCGTTCTAAGCCACCTCAAAACTGCGACATATATGGAAACATACTGTGCAATCAAGCCCAGGCCATGCGCAGCCCCACAGTTCTCATGTAGCAGCCAAGAGACGTCTATGGAATGCAGTCAAGGCACTTGGGTGTGGTACGTATACCTGACTAAAAAATATCGTCCTCACAATGTGGCTGACTCTTTTGCTGTGGTCTAAATTTTTGGCTCTATTGATGCAGGGCATCCAAGACAAGAAGCTCAAAGGCCAGCTTCGAGCGACAGAGAAGCTTTATGGCGAGGCTGCGACGAGCGCCGCGAAAGTGGAACAGGTATGGAGACGATGTCCTCGGGAGTTGATTTCTTAGAAGGAAGTTGGAACATTGTTGGCTCTCCAAGGAATTATGATCCAACGGTTTGTAACATGTTGCTACTCTATTCCGTCATATCTGAGAGTACGAGCATAAGTATAAACTGGTGAGGTGACTCTGAGGTACGGCGGTCGATACTATGCCTGGTGTGAGTTCTCGTGTCAGAAGTTGGAGGACAGATAGAGGATTGCACTGTTTGAAATCTGGGCCCCTCTGAAGTTCATGTTGCAAAGATATCCCTCGCTCAAGGGGGACGCTGCCAAGGACTATAGCTATCGTCCGGCACCTCCTCAGCCAGTCAAGGAGGCTCCTCTCAAGAATGCCTCGGTCCTTTGCGACAATTCTAAGTACTTTTTCAATGCTTGCGTCTTCGTCCTAAGCTATCGCATAACGAGTCCGATTGAGGTACAGAAATCAAAGCCTCCTTGCTTTGCCCCCATATGACGCTTGCCCCAGGATTCTCAGTCGGTGTGATTCGCAGTGGCGGTTGCCTTCGTTTCAAAGATTTACAGAAGAAGTTCCAATCTGAATGCAGGAATCCTCATTTTGGTTTTTTCAACTTGGTTGCAGAGAATCAAGAATTGGTTCAGCCGTCTATTACGCTCGATCGAAAGCTGTTCCTCACATCTGCTTCCTGTTGTGGTTTTCCTCAGTGGCTGCTGCTGTCGTTTCAAAAATATATAAAAGTCTGTGACTTTTGAGGAGATTCTTCGTTTGGTTTGGGCGTCGCTTGCATTGCCAAGTTGTGCTCATATGCAGTTTTTTGTGGTTTCCAGTGGCTGCTGCCAGCGGAAGCGGGTTTCCTGGAGGCGGAGGGCGTGGAGCGCACCCAGAACTACCGGCAGGAAGCAATTCTGCCGCACCTAGATCTAACCAGCCAGAGAAAGATCTTCGATCTTCGATTGCCAGGTGGGCAGGCGTGAAAGATTCGTTAAACTCAGCCTAGGATTAACGTGTGCTTCATAGCCACACTGACGCTGATTACAGGCTAAAGTCACGTCTTTCTGGGGTGCTTGTCTTAGTGAAAGCTGTTCTTGGTGACAGCTGCTCTTGGAGTCTCCGGACCTTGCTTGCGTTCAAGTATGGGTCCTCGTATCCGAGATTCTGTGTCTCTCCACAAAGTGGTCGCACTCACCTTTCGCTCTTAAGTTAAAGCTCGGAGTTCATTGTATTGGCGGCACACCTTTCGTTGACTCGTTTTACCCGTTTGAAACTCTCGTGCTTGGACCCCTATTCACTGAAACACCCACCAAACATGGCTCCGCTGCTGATATCTGATTCTGACACCTGTCGATCGTGGATTGGCCCCCTTCCGACAAGCTCAAGACACAGAAACCTCAAATCTCAAAACTTCAAATTCCTGTTTGCCACAGGTTTCGGCCTGTACTCCTTATACTACAACCGCAGTGTGTCCTTCTGGTGGGTGGCCGAAAAGGACACCTGGCGATGATAGATTGGTTTCACCCACAAAGCCTCAAATTCTTGACATTCTCAGATTATTGGAGTCCAATTAGGATCTTCGTTCCCGCAGATTTGGGCCCGTACTCGTTAGACTACACGCGCAGCGGGCGGCACCTCCTGGTGGGCGGCCGAAAGGGACACCTGGCGATCATGGATTGGGCGAGGGCGCAGCTGGTGACGGAGCTGCAGGTCAAGGAGACGACGCGGGACGTGCAGTTTCTGCACAATGAGAGCTTCTTTGCGGCGGCGCAGAAGAAGTACGTGTACGTATACGACAAACGGGGCATCGAAGTGCACTGCCTCAAGGTAAACGTCTTGTGACACCCGTTATCAACGTTTCTTTCTAAAGCTACACCAGAGGGAAACTTATGAATTGTAGTGAAGAATCTGTGCCGGGGTGTTGGTATTTGCAGATCAAGCTCAATCTGCGGATCGCCAGAGGTTTTTGCGTCAATTGAAGTCAACTTTTGGTCGGTCATGGGAGAACAGATGAAGGCTCAATTGAAGGCTGGCTGACGAAACTGCAAAGCGGCATGCGCTTGACGTTTGACTGCCAGTCGTTGCTTTGGAGCGAGTAGAGCGAGCTTCCAACGAGGAAGAGAGCGAGGAGCAAGTGTGACGAGATTTGCGGACCTTACATTCGCCGAGGCAAGCCATTGCGAGGACCGAGAATATCCTGAATCGAATCTGAGCGGAGTCGAACCAGGCTGCTTAAACTCGATTGCGGAGGTTTTTCACAATCCTCTCGTTGAATCCTCTCAAGTGGGCTCCCTAAGAAGGTATCGTTTCGGGCGTTCGGAATCAAGACGAGTCAGCCCCTACCGTCGAAATACCGAGAAAATAGCCCATCGCGTCGCAAAGCAGACAACGTCGCCCCAGTGTCGCTTGTGAGCACGCCGACGTCCTCAAAATGGGCTTCCTCCACCATCACTCACTAACCCAAATATGTGGAAAACCAGGCTTCTCGAAAACCCAAATATGTGGAAAACCAGGCTTCTCGAAAACCCAAATCCTCAACATCTAAACCCCATCTCAACCCAGTCTGCCCGTTCGTTCAGGAGCACACCGACGTCCTCAAACTCGGCTTTCTCCATCACCACTTCCTCCTAGCCAGCGTCGGAAAGTACGGCGTGTTGCGGTATCAGGATACGAGTACGGGTGCGATCGTCTCACAGCACAAGACGAAGCTGGGGCGGTGCGGGGTGCTGGGCGTAAATCCGTACAACGCCGCAGTGGGGCTGGGGCACAGTAATGGGACGGTGAGGGTTCCCAGCTTTTCGAGGTTTGTTTGCATTCCGTCTTTACTTTTTAATTTCCTAGATTAATACTGGCGCAACACAAGTCAAAGCTCGGCGGTGCGGTGCGCTGGGAGTGAACCCGTACAACGCCGCAGTCGGGCTGGGGCACAGTAATGGGACAGAGAGAGTTTGCTTCAGCGACTATTTAGTTCGTCCGTTCTCCTTACGAACAAGTCTCCTGTGCGCTCGATCGATGCACAAGACGAAGCTGGGGTGGTGCGGACTACTAGGCGTTTATCCGGACAATGCCGCAGTTGGGCTGGTGCGAAGTAACGGGACAGCAAAGAGCGCAGCTTTTGGCGCCCTTTTCTTTGCTTTTCCGTTCGCTATTGTCTGATGTTTGGGTGGAGGGGGACGTCGGGGCCTTTCAAGACGAGCGGGCTATGAGTTTTGGCGGCTTATCAAGATAACATTGTATCCAGGCCCCAACAAACGGCCTCCTGCGGTTGTGAGATGGTTCAAACGACAGCGCACTGCAATTGTAGTACGTTTCCGGAAAGACAAGCTTGTCAAGGATCGTTTTTGCTTACGTTCTTTGAGCCGTCGGGTTCGTTTTCAATCCATGCGTGAATCTTTGCGTTTTACGACTCACTGACCGAAAGCTGCATTTCCACGGCACCTCGCGGTTTGGCATTCTGGTTCGAGTTCTTTGTTCAAGTGACCTTACTACGTCAAAATTTCCGTTCAGCAGTGCAGCTTTCAGGAGGCCGAGACTTCAGCACCTGCCTCCACAAACTTTTGAACCCTGAAAAGTAGCTCAACCCGAAGCGTAACACAGCTTCCTAATCTCATCCCACAGGTCAGCTTTTGGAGCCCAAACATGAGCACGCCGCTGGTGTCGCTGCTGTGCCACCGAGGCCCTGTCACGGCGCTCGCGTTCGACGTCGAGGGGCGGCACATGGTCACGGGCGGCATCGACGGTCAGGTGAGCGGGGCCTTGCCTGCAATCAACGCTTCTCATATCCCTGCCTTCGGCCGCTGGTCTCTAAACCCGAAGCCGTCGTTAACCCGTCCTCGATTCGTCTACCCGTCCTCAAACGTTATGAAGGATACTTCAAGCAACGCCATCATTACTGCGAAGGGGGCGCGTGTGGAATGCGACGGTTCAGCTGTCAGCTCAAGTGGAAATTCAGGCGGTCGGAGCCGGATATATCACTGTCAACAGGATTGGCTGTTGGTCGGATTTCCCCGTCCAACACAGAAACTAGAAGTATGTCCTGCGTTCCGTTTTCATGGCGATCTCGGTTCCTTTCGCTCTTATCCTCTTTCCTCGTCTTCTACTAGGGTTATTTCAAAGCTGCACCCTTGCCTCTTTGTTTTTCATAAGCTCGCGACCAGAGTCATTTCCCGTTGAATGATGAGAACCGACCTGATTGATGTCCGCACTCTGGTGTCCGCAGGTCAAGGTTTGGGACGTCCGAAAGTTCCAGCCGGTGCACGCCTACTTCTCCCCCCAGCCCGCGCAGGCGCTCGACGTCAGCCAGCGCGGCCTGCTCACAGTCGCCCACGGCAGCACGGTCCAAGTCTGGCAGGTTAGCTTAACCTTCCTGCTTAAAAGTTGCCAGGTTTTTCAAACGTCCCGGCTAACCCGGCTAACCCGGAGGTCAAACTTCAAGCTTTTCTCGATTGACGGAGACGTTCGCCGAGTTGGCTCCTCGTGATCCATGGCGGCGCGGTTAAAATTCTGGAGGTTAGCTTCGTTTCTGAATAAACCTGTCTGAACATCTCACCGTAAACTCCGCTCCAAGACTAAAGTATAGACTTCTTGGCGTCGTGCCTTTGAATCTTTCATCGATCTTGTCGTCGAAATTTGGCTGGCCAGTCCTATGCGCGTTTTACCCGTATGCTCGACTTGGTGCTATTTTCGATCTTTGCACTGCAGCTAGAGATTGTGCAGTTACAGCGTCGACCTTTTTAGCTGCGATGTCGAGTAGAAAGGAGTAGAGAAGTTATCTGTTTGATCTTCACGCAATTTCAGTATTGTGATTGCGTCTAGTAAGAAAGGAAGATTATCTCCCGCCTATTCTGACGTCGGTCTTTTTGTGCCTGGATTTGTCTAGACCACGGCGCCTTACTTTGGTGGATTTGCATTCCGCAGTCTCGATCATGGTTTGAAAAGACTTGTCCGCGAAACGATTGTCTTCTGGCATCAACTTCTTCTGCGTGTGTATAAGTCTGCCTACCGCGCCAGGAACTGAGAACTGTAAGACACTTTCGCCTTTCTTCAGGACGCCCTCAAAACTAAGGCCAAGTCCCCCTACCTCACGCACCGACTCTTCGACAACTCCGCGATCGCTGACGTGGCATTCTGCCCCTTCGAAGACGCACTGGCGCTCGGGCACTCGGGGGGCTTTTCCTCGATCATCGTGCCCGGCGCGGGTAATCCTAACTTCGATAGTTTCGTCGCTAACCCGTACGAAACCAAGAAGCAGCGGAGGGAGGCGGAGGTGCATCTGCTGCTTGACAAGCTGCAGCCGGAGACGATCACGCTGGACCCGTACTGGATCGGGGGGGTGCGGAAAGCGCCGAAAGAGCTGCAGGTTAGTCCCGGGCTTTACTTATCTTAGTCCCGGGCTTTACTTATTCCGTATCGTTGACCCGAAGTAGGACCTGGAATATGATATAGAGTAGTGGAAACTAGTAAACAGTGGAAGGCGTCCAAAAAGTTGCGGGTATGCCCGAAGTCTGAAGCGAAGCTCGTGTCTATCTTGATTTGGGAATCTACAAAGCCTGGAAAAGTGTGAGATCGATTTCAGACCGGCTGATCCCGTTCGGTGAGGGATTGCGGAAGCGGCCACTCAGCATCTTTGGGTCCCCTTCTGTTGACCATTTTTGAGATTCTAGGGGTTAGAACGATTGGCTACGCAGCAGGAAGAACGTTGGGCTTACAGCTTTGTGGTCGGAATCGGAAAGTCTGTGTGAAATTCCCTTCGTGTGATTCGCTATCTGTCACGTCCCAGCTGTGTGCGCCCTTTCATGGCAGCACAAAAGCGCCGAGAAAAGCTTGATACTAGAAGTGCCCTGCTGGGAACGGTCTATTTCTGGTGGTCTAAGTTGGCAAAGCGCGAATGTTGGAAGGCTCGGAAGTGGGAGTTTGGATGTGTCAGAAAAGCTCAACCGGGCATTCCGTTTGCAGAAAGCGCAAGCTGCGGCGGAGGCGGAAGCCAACCGGAAGGCGGCACTGCAGGCCGGCAAGGAGGCTGCGCTCAAGAATAAGGCCAAGGTGAGGCCTCTGGGATGTGTCCGCGCATCTTGTTCTTTCTCACCACCACCGCTGAGTGTCCCTTCAATGTTTGCGCATTTCGTTCTCTCCCACTACCATCGCTGAGTGTCCCTTCAATGTTTGCGCATTCTGTACTCCCACACCACCACTTCTGACTGTCCCTTCAGTGGAACTACGGGTTCTATGTCTCCTCGTACCCAGTTCCTTTCACTTAAGCGCAAATAGAACCAGCGCGGGATGTCCGGTCTCAATATAGTCGCCCAGATTTGTGTTTCTGACCGGTGATTTGTCATCGATTCCGCAGGGGAAGAGCAAGCCCACGAAGAAGCACCGGAAGAAGCAGCTGAACATCATCGACAACAAGAAAGCGACGGTGAGTGCCTTAGTCCCGCCTGAAAAGAAAGCGCGGGGGATGTGTACTTGAGTCCTTGGATGTTTAATTACGGGATTGGTCGAAGGAGACCGGACTGCAAAATCCAATTGCCGCGTCTTTGCCGTAGAAAACCCAGGACGAAACAAAAACCCCTACCGTTTCCCGTCTGCCGATCCTCTCCACCGCTTTGCACTTTCGTGCTTTCATTACCTGTCCAAAGCAGATTCACTCTGACACGACCCCACTCTGACACAGTTCTACCCTGTTCGCAGGTCTCTGCTGATCTTGCCAGCAAGCAGCTGAAGCGGAAGCAGGAGAGTGCGGTTGAGGATTCGGACGCCGACATGCTAAGATCGTCCGCACTAGCCCGGTTCTATAAACGGTAGAGCTGACCATATCATCAAGAGAGGAAGTAGACAGCGGGAGGCTCCATCATCGATACAGGTCGTCGTTCCGTCTTCTTATAGTCTTGTGCGAGGTATTTGGCACGCATTTTCGCCACCGTAATGGGTTGCACTGCGCATTGTCACGCCGCACTTGCCGGCGTTTACTTCCCAAACTTGCGGAAAGGTTCTTCAGTATTGACTGATGAATGAGCTGCCGCCGCAAGGCATATTTCATTTGTGGAAAATGCGACGTAACCAACGTTTGCAACGAGCCTAACTGCATGCAAATTGGTTGGTGAAACCGGTGACATAGGGGCCTCAGCTAATCTGGTTCCCCACCAGCATGTATTTCTGTTGCACACCGACATTGCATAGGATACAACATAACGCAAGGCTATATACTGAGGGTGGTGGCACTCGTTGCGGATCAGTCGCGCCCACGTCGAGCCGTTCGAGTCCGGCCTGTTTTGAGATGTGCAGTGGTGGCTAACCTGATACTAGTAACAAATGCGCTTAATCATGCACCGTAGCTGCCGCCCATGTGTACGCCGTGATATACGTAATGATACGTCATGATAAGCCGTACATATATGTACGAGACTTTTGCAATACGGCCATGTGGCCGGCCATGCATGGCCTTCCGCTGCATCCACGAGCTGAATGATACTATGATAGGCGGCGATGAGAGCCGATCAGTTGCAGACGATTGAATCTTCCATGAGCATGCGCGTTTCATACTGAGTGCGCCAATTATGATCGATTCTTGTCAATCATACTATGTGGCGCTTATATATATATTGAAGCGCTTATATGAGAGCTTGCATGTTGTTCAGATTCTCCTGCCGTATAAAGCCACTCGGCACGATGTATAGTCCGTGATAGTAAAGAAGGTCAAATGGGTCAGAAACCTAGTTCCGCGTACCTAGGCACGCACAGCTTTTAGCTCGCCCAAAAACTTATCGACAGGTCGAAGAATAAGCCTGCCGCCCGGACTTCATCTAGCTACTTCAGTCAGGTACACATTGACAGTATTAAAGTATTGAGCGGGTAACACAAAAAAATCGATTCAGCTTTTTACAGCTTCCCGGCTTGATTGTCATGTCCATTGCCCGTGACTTGTAATACGCTCAGGCCAATTCAGCTTTTGAAGTTGCTCATCTGATACTACATGTGCAGGAGCGTGACTGACAGATGACAAATGTGACGGTTTATACAACTGCAAAGCGTGCAATAATGGTACTGCTCCATGTATTGAGCATGTTGATTGAACGTGTCGAAAGACTCGGCCCTCTTAATACCCCGTGACACTTGAGATGATTCTTGCCACCTTCTGAAAAACAGTGATAAAGACTTGCATACTCTTACAACATTACCTTCTGATACCAGTACATGACTTGCCAAGACGCTACCGGCATCGTTACCCGAGTCCTGTCCGTTAAAAACTCTGACCGGTCACGTATTGTCTCTCTTCATTCAGCACCTGTCTCCTTCTTAGCTCTTTTTCCCGTCCAGAATGGTGGCCTGCTTCATACTCATCAGCTTCGGACGCTTCTCGTTTACCACCGGAGACACCAACCCAGCGCGCGCACCTTCAGAGCCCAGCGACTGCCGCCTCTCAGCCGCAGCAGCGCCAAGTGCTGTTCCGTCCAACTCGTCAGGACTCCGTCCGGCGGAACCGGAAAGATGGGAAGTGCGAGGGTCGACACCTGGGCACCTAGCACCGGTGCAATCACCTCGTCGGTACCTCGAACCGGGCTGTCCCGTCCCCTCTCCACGCTCCCAAAAGCCGGCCGCTCAGTGCGTCTCCGAAACTCTTCCGCGACTCTTCTGATGCTCTGAAAAGGCCCCTCGCCGTCCGCTTCCGCCGCTGAAGAAGCCGGAAAGTCAGACTCTCCCAGCGGCACCGGTCGCATCCCGTGCTGGTCCGAAGCTCCCGATCCGGCCGGCGTGTGAAACTCCATCTCATCTCTCTGAACAGCTTCTTCTGCTTCATCCTCCTCCAGAAAACAGCCCTCAGGTGATCCGTTTCCTCTTGAAGATCCGAACAAACCCTCTGCCTCTTCTCCAGATAACCCTCCTTTCTGCATCTCCCATCCCTTCGTCATTGAACCATTCTCCCGTTTGGGGTTCCCTTTTGCATCCCACTCGACCGCGCTGATCTCACCGTTCACGACGTCGAGATGCAGCTTCCGGGGACTTTCGAGGCCCGGGAATACGCTTCCCGCCTCCTTTTTCGCCGCGTGTTTTGAAACGTCTTTGACCGGTCTCTGCACTTTGCAAACAAGTGCGGTCTCTCTCGCAGAGCTGCTGTCATCCCCGCCCGGCAAAAACCGCTTCAAATAGCCCCGAATTTGCTTCTTCCCCCCCAGCGTTTCTTCGTCTGGCACTCCTTTTGCGCCCGCTTCCAAAACGCCCACCAGGCCCGAATCCCTCCTGCGGGTGAACCCGCCATTCCTTGTCTTCCGCTTTCCGCTGGGGTTCCGCTCACAATCGTCCGCTGCGTCACCTTTGGGGTCTGCCTTCTGCTCTTCCGCTGCTTCCTTCAAGCGGTTCCGCTCCTTTCGGTTCAGAGAAGCAAACTCCGTCTGCAAAGCACCAGGAATCGCCGCACGACCTGTTTCGGAGGAGTTTCCGCTCCCCCCGGTTTCCGGCGACCGGCGCGCGCGCTTCGGGCTCCGCAGCTGTTGCGCCATTTCCTCGCCCCGCTTGCTTAGCTTCACTTTCCGCTTCCCCTCGTTCCGCCGCTCCAGAAACCCCGCAACCGGAATCTCACCTTCTGCCACGTGGGTCTCGGGATTCGGTTCTCCCCCGCAATCGGCGCTATGGCCCGCAGAACCGCTCCCCTTTCCTGCGTCACCAAGATCCGACAGGCGCTTCTTCTTGTCACGCCGCCTTTCCGCTTTCCGTTCCGGTTCAGCCCTCGGTTCAGCTCTCGCTTTCCGCTTGCCAGGCTTTGTTTCCGTTGCGGTCACTCTCTCCGTAGGTTCGCTGGAAGACCGTTTCTCCTCGTTCGTCAGAAACTCTGCCGCGCGAATCAGCTGCCCGAACGGGGTGTCTTTCTCCTCGCTTTCATCCGAGAGGCCTTCCGTCCGGTCCCGTTTTCCGCCCTTTCCCTTCCACTCTCTGATGGGCAGGTCCTCGCGGGAGTCGTAGCTGAAGGCGCCAAAGTCAGCGGGGCTTCCGCTGGAAGTTTGGCAGGCAGCGGAATCCGGCGCTTCAGGCGGAAAGGTCATGAGCTCAGACGGGGTCTGAGAGGCAGAATGGCTTGGAAGATGCCGCGGCGCGGCACGGCGCGCGAGAATGAGCGATGCAATCAGGGGGTGCGTGAAGCCAAAAGCCTGTACACGGGCGAAAATTTCGATTATTTTCTTGAGGATGTTTTTGCCGTCTGCTCGTCACAAAGAGCAAGGAGAAAACGTCATGATACAAACGTCGGTTGGGATTAGAGACACTTAAGAGTTTCTGATGTCCCCTACTTTTGTGGCATTTTCTTCCTCTCGTCGCTAATCATGAGCAACTCGGAAAGGTATTCTCGTTGATATACTCTGTTTTCAAAGGCGATGGTGCGAATGAAAGGCGACTGAGCGAGCGGATCATGCAGCGTAGAGAGGCTTGACTCTGATTTGAAACCGAGAGAGCCAACACAAGACACTTTTCGTTGCTAACCCTGCAGGTTTAGGTACCTTCTAGCAGCTTTCACGAACACGGCTCAAGCGTCCTTATAGACTTCGCTACGTAATCCAATGAGTGGGTCCAGGCTGGGAATATTGGGAAGGAAACCACTGAATGCCTGAAATCTGAAAGGAACAGCTGATCAAGTGCCTTATTAGAATCAGCAGAGGAGGGATTCTCTCATTCCTTGGGTTCTGAGTTGGTCAACTCACGTGCGGTCCATTCATGACCTCCAACTCGCCGCGCCGTAATGCCAGCAGGGCCCAGGGAGACGTTGGTGTGGTGCCGAGGAAGCGCTCGGTTGTGTTGGCCGGCTGCAGCGCAAAGAGAGGCACCCCGGTGGGGCTCTCCTGGACCTCCATGTGGTAGATGGCATTCTTGTGGATTATGGTGCATCTGCAATCAAGGGGCAGCTTCTGAGACGTTTGCATATGCATCATTCTGGCTCTCTGTCTTAGCTGAAAGGAAATTATTTGAAGACTATGAAAGTCGGCCTCTGTGTTCTGCTGCCGGAGAGTCTGAGAAACTTCCGATTGGACACGAAGAGACGCGCGCGAGGAGTCTCTTTGTGACTCGGAAAGGCAACCTCAACTGGGAAGGGAGGGACAGCGCCTTTAAGGCTTCTCAAAACCTGATGGATCATCCCTCAGAAACTTGCTAAAGATGTGGCCATTTTTAATGAAGCTTTTCTGAAGCGGATCGAAGCTGGACAGCACCATAGAGGCGTTCATACATGGAACGAGACCGGTACTCAACATTGATTCCTGAGAAGCGTAGATGCCTAATTGAATAGGTTTACTGCTAGAGAACGTAAAGGAAAGAGCTAACGGAAAGCCAAGAAGGTCTAGTGAAGTCCAGTTTTTCGCTCATCTGAAAAGAAAGGCTACACGAGTTCTAAGAAAAGAAAGGATTCTCACCTGTATCCGATTGGGCTGTCCAGCAAGTGATCAACCCACTGCAAGGACATGGATTGCTTAATGCATCAGGAAAAGCTCGCGAAGCATCATATCAGCGTAGACCAGAAGGCCTTGGAGATCTCTGCTAGTAACTCAAGTAGGTAGCCTTCAGTCTCATATGAGATTAGCATATCCATCAATCAGACGATTGCGACCAAAGGCGTTAAATCCATTTCAAGTTTCTAGCGACTACACAAGCGATCTTCGAGTAGTCTCGAGGACGAGAATTGCACGAGGACAGCAAGTGTACTCTGCTCTTACATTCTGAGCGAAAGCCGATCGGATGACCGGACCTCCTGGAGCAGCAACCAGCGGCGTGTAACTCGATCGAATCGAATGTGTCCGTCCTAGAGACCAGATTGTGCACTTTCGATCTCGTAAGGAGAAAGGGCAACAGACTGCCCCTTTCTCGACCTGTTGGACACAAAAATGGTGCATGAGAGAAAGCTTTTTCATTCAGGGAACCACCTTGCTTTCCAAGATAGAATCTGCGATCTATTCTGCAGCCGCATGGTTGTCTTTGGTTGTTTTTGATCCAAAAAACCACTAAAGGTAAAGGTTTCCAGAAAGACCAGCAAGGATACAAGCAGAAGGAGTAGCAGGTAGGGTATAATTGGACTCCCATGAATACAGAGCACTTTTCCTTCTTGCATGGATTGAGGATGCTTGATGAGCCAAAGATTAGAGGATTCAGAGAATTCTGGTTCCATGGATCTGAGTTCAGAAGAGAATAACGAGGGGGATAACACGTTCACGCGCTCACCGGCCCGTTTGATCCTTGAATCTTGCTGAGAGAGCTAAAACCTTCTGCACTGCTTGATATATCTCGCTGGTTACCAGGTGGAAAGACGTGATATGACCATCCAGTCTGGCTGGATGCATTACCCATGCTCATGACAAGATTGCCTGAACCAGCTACTTCAAAATCATAAATATGAAAGCTGTAATGGGAGTCCCACGTGTGGAAGAGAGATCAAAGGTTTTCTGGTCCTAGTCTCTCTGTGTGTCTCTGCTGCTGCATATCAGGACCCTCAATCCTATGGCCGATCTTCAAAACTTGTTTGCGACCAGATTTTCACATCTCAACCCTGTCATTCCGCGTACAAGAGCACCTATCTATCATTCAAGGATATCAAAGCTTCTCATCGTGTGAGTACAGTGTCCAGATAAACGATAAAATGAAACAGAATTGCCGCTCAAACAGATGCCTTAGTCTCTATAGTAAAGTTATCAGACGGTGCTTGCAGCTTGATTCCTCGAAGGTTTGTCACAAATCTTTCGAAACACAGCAGTTCTTTTCATGCGTTCTGCTTTCCAGTTTCCATGCATGGCGCATCTCAATCCCCACCTTTGTCTTTCAACTGTTCTTTAGCATCTTGTGCTTTCTCTGAGACGCTGCACAGCAAGCCAATCTGATCCGCATGTTCAAAGAGGGAGCGCTCGACTGGTCTTTGGCTCTTCATTGAGGTCCCGAAAATGTCCCATCTCGAGTCTGCTTGCAAGCTCTTCGAAAGGGCAAACAGTCTGAGAGATGTCTTAAAATTTTCCCTCTTGGAGCGGCCTTAAGACAACGACGTTTCAAGCCTGTCAGTGTAACTCAGCAGTGCTACCGGCTCTAATGCTGACATCAGACTGTCGCATTTGCGTACCAATCAATGATCTTCGAGGTGCGCGATTCACGGGACCAATCGGAAGCAAATTTCCACCATTTAGAGAATCCTGTCACATCTGCATAATAGCGTACTATTACTACTGCATGTGCGTCTAACGTGCATGGATAGCTATTCGCAAGGCTTTCAGCAAGTCATGCATGATTTCCAGACTACTCGACTCTTATAGTCTGGGATTTGTGAGGTTACGATGATGTGACTAGCTACTGTGTAGAAGCAATCTGTACGCCAGTCGCAATCATGATGTCTGGCCATCATCTCAATCATGGAGTTTGCACAATATTACCACTGTATTGACCGACTTTTCCCAGATAATGATTCGCTTTATACATGTAACAGCGCTTGAGAGCAGATACACGTTCGCAGAATGGGCCGTATCCATCTTGTTCAGAGTTGAAAAGTTGAAGTCTATCAAAAAAAGTGAAATGTGAGTTATCAGATTCGATGCTAACTGCACTCATAGAGTTGAAGAATAGGCCTGAGAATGACATGGTTCCAACGTCTACTTTGTTTTGAATAGAACAATCTAAGATCGCGAAGCGTACAGCCGTCGAGAAAGTAGGTCAGCTGTTGTTTTGAGATTGCATCGATAGACAGCCCTTTGCAGGCCAGGATATGAAATGATTCCCAGATATTGGCTGTCTCCTACTAAACGGGGATGCTGCACATGGATTGTCCAGAGACGGCCTCTCTTGAACCCCAGGCGGAATCCTAGGCGTGTCTGAAGTACCGGGGTACTTATCTTTTGGGCAAACGGGACCGTCTAAAAAGACGTCCGGCATGATTGCCACATATCCTGCGCATACGATCAACTCTCCATTCGAGAGTCTCCACTTCTGAAGGCTTCGCATGACGAAAGGACCAAAGAAATGCGACGTAGCAAAAGCGCAGTAAATAGAGGGTCTTTTATCCAGGATTTTGATGTGTTTTTGAGAAGCCGGTCAAAGATCCCCGTAAAACAGAACCTTGCATCAAAGAAAAGTATGGCACATGGATGCACAATTCGAGGACGCTTGCAAAGATGCGGGTGAAACGGAGATCTCTTGCACTGTTGATCATAAAACTAAAACCTAGGGCCATAAACGCGAACAAAAGACTTGCCGAAGCTCCTCTCTTTACTCATCCTGCTACCATGTTACAACTTTACAGTTGGCTCCAGTCCTACAAACTCATCCGGTACCGTACCGCTGTATCCGTCACACACATTCTCTCGCAACACTACTTTCTCCCCTGATGAAGCCACTCTCATAAGCTACTACGCTGCCCGAGACGGTCCGATGAGATCAACTGGTGATCTTCAGTTTACAGTTCAGACTCAATAATGAAAACATCTTCCACCGCACTCTGCCGCCCTTCTTCTCCACCGCTTCCCCCTCCCGCAAAACGCGTGCTTTCGATTTGTTACACTTTGATTCGCACCTTTCTACATGATTCGCACCTTTCTAGACACTGGATACATGACTAGCCGGAAGCTTCCGCTCTGATCTCCTCGCAACCTATCTTTCTACGCCACGTGTCGCGCGCTGCGCGCCCCTTGCAGGCTACTGCGCGACGCAGCCGTGGCTGGCGTTCAGGTCCAAATACTCCATCCCCGCGTCGGGGTCTTCAACCGACGCGGCCGCGTCGGGCGCGTCGGCCGCTTCGCGGCCGCCCGCGTCGGGCGCGTCGGCCGCTTCGCGGCCGCCCGCGTCTTCGTCGCCCATCTCGGAGGGGGACTGGAGAGCAAAACTATGCCAGGTCTCATTCTCCTGGCTGTGCTTCTGCCCCAGGAAGGGGCTTTTCGGCCCCGTGAGCGCGAGCGTTTTGGGGTCCAGGATTTGGAGGGGCGGCGGCCGCGCGGCGATCATGTTCAGGGTGAACTGGAGGGGTTCGGGTGACGCGCTCGCGGGCAGCGCCGCCGCCGGCGGCGGCTTGACGTCAAAGGTCTCGTCGAAGTTCTCCCACATGGCCTCGATTTCGGGGCTCAGGTCCAGGCACCGGCAGGACTCGTCGGAGTCGGACGCGGAACCCAGCTCGAAGTCGTCTGCTTCGGCCCATCTGCACGAGAATCACACACTTATAAGAAACTCGTTTCTTGCATGTTGAAATTTCACTAGTATTTCGATGCATTGAGGAATACCAAAAGGAGAATGATGGCGACAATATTTATCACTGGTATTTTTTTACCCTCAATGTAACCTTGTCTTTCCCCTGAACTTCCTTGTGGAAACGTTCGAGCTCAAGCAGTGTCGTAAGAAAGAGCAAGCACCAATTTGGCTAGCGGTGTCTTTGAACTGTCAGAGGTTGGTGTGCATGTGGGACGAGCCATTCAACCCAAAATTGTTTAACCACTCAGTGAATGAAGACTTAAAGCTTTCACCTAGTAGCACGAAGTTGATTGCAGAAAGAGTCTTGCTTCGAAACCACAAAGAGTGAGTCCCTCTTTACAGTTTCTGGCGTTCTTGTACCTTGCCAAACCGCTAAGCAGCCCACATGCGGCTTTGCAAGGGTGATGCTGACGAGCCCATCTCTCTGACCACTACGTATAAGAGGCAAAGAGGAACCGAAGACTTCGCTAATTTCCCGAATTCAATAGAGAGTGGGGAACTTTGGCCAAAAGTTAGGGCACACAAAGAAAGTGACAGCCTGCAACGTATCGAGCAAGTTCAAAAGCATTCGCCCACCTTTCAAGGAGCTTCGCGCTTGTCTGCTGCCCGCGCGCGGCGCGCGCGCGGTACTCGTCGATGTAGTCCCACATCCGGCCGATGAGGTCATCGTGCATTTGCATGACGTCAAGTTCGACCTCCACCCCGCCGTCGTTCACTGCGGGGATGAAGTCCGCGAGCGAATCCAGCATTCCCTTCAGCGCCATCTCTGGGAGATTCCTGATCTCCAGTGCCAGCTGGCAGCGCTGCTGTAAGGTATACGCGCGAGCGGGGGCGGCCGCGCGGCCGAGCAGCCGCGCGAGCGTCATCGCGTCCAAACCCTTCCTCCTGTCGGGCGCCGCAAAACTGCGAGCCGCCGCGGCGAGGGCAACCCGCTGTCTCTCCCACCTCTCGTCCTCCTCCTCAGACTCTTCAGTGGTAAACCCGGTTCGTTCTTCCTCCATCTCGCTCTCGTCCTCGCTCTCACTTTCGCCCTCGCTCTCGTTCTCGTTCTCAACCTCGCTCTCATACTCGTTCTCAACCTCGCTCTCGTTCTCGTCGTCAGACTCGCTCTCGCTCTCAGACTCGCTCTCACTCTCGTCTTTCTTGCCCCCCCTCACCCGCCTCACACCCGCCCGTTTCCGTGCGCCTTTGGCCCCCCCCTTCTTTCTCGCGGGGCTTTTCTTCCCCCCGGGGCTCTTCGCTCCCTTCTTCCCCGCTTCGGGGGGGCTGCAAGGCACGGCATACGCCCCCCTGCCAGGCTTAAACTCCAGCCCCGGCCGCGAGCGCGGCGCCTTGCCAACGATCTTAGGGCCGCTGTTCCCGACCTTGGGCACCCGGCTGACGTTCCGGGCGGGCTTCATGGCGCCGTTCGCCTCGGCGCCCGCCTCGGGTGGGAGCCCCGACGACTCGAGCAGCTTGGCGAGCTTGAAGTTGAACTGCGCCTTGACGGACTCGGCCATGAAGAAGATGTCGGAGCCGTCGCGGTTGTACGCCATCGCGTTGTCGAACACGCGGCGCATGTCGGCCGCGAACGCGCGCCAGTCGGCGCCGTACGCGAGCGCCTCGAGGCGGCCGCGGATCGTGCCGAGGTCCATCGGGTGCTTGATGACGTCGTGGTAGTCGGGCAGGCCCAGGGCGGCCGCGTCGACGGGCGCCTTGAAGGGGTGCGCCCACTGTGCGGGGAGGAAGGGGATGACGTCAGCAGAGAGGGTTGCAAGGAAGGAAAAAGGTTGAAGAAGAGTTTGCTTCTTCGAGGTTGGGTTTTATCAGATGAATCAAGGGTGGCTGGGAGGCCTCTTTGACAACGCTTTCAAGAGCTGGGAGGAACGGGGAGAACAACGATTGACGTCAGCAGAAGGCTTGAATCAGAATATGGAGCTGAAGAGGAGATATTTGACTTCAGAAGAAAGTCGTAGCTGCGAGGATTGAAAGAGGTAAGAAGAGGTATTGAACCCCGCGATATCCAGATAACCAGGTTTGACGCGTTCCTCCAACAGAGAAGTCAGCTGGCAGACCATGCAGAGAAGGAAAGGAAGCGGCTGACGTCAGCAGAGGAAGATTGACGCGGCTGACATCAGAAGGGGAGCTCATGTCAGACAAGCTGACCAAGAGTTGAGAAAGAAGTGCAGGATTAGGAAGACGGAGGGGACCTTGGAATGAGGGCCGACGCTGGAAATGAGCAGGCAGCCAGCCAAAGGAAGTCGAAATCAACAGGGAATTGATTGCAGTGCTTCTCCATCACTGATTAAATTCGGTCTGGTGTTTGGCGATCCAAGATCTGGGGGAGTACCTTGATTGTTCCCCTGTCACCGAAGTGGAGCTTAACACGTGGCACTTCAGAGGGAAAGAAGACAAACAGAGAAATAAGGATGGACGTTCTTAGATTTTGCCCCGACAATTGACTCTAATGACTTCTCTTAAGTTTCACGCACTAGTGAAAGGTACATGGAAGTCGACACTTGCTGCGTGGGAATTTTCCAGCCAGACACGCACTCATAGCAAAGAAGGAAAGCAGTGGCAGTACTTCAAGCAGAAAGTAATGAGCGAATTAAGACACACAAAGATACCCAGAGGCTTCCAAAAATTCTCCTCGTCAGTATGAGTCCATAGTCCAGAAAGGGAAGCTACAGCTGTCATCAGGTGTCAATCGCACCACATGTTCTTTTCATTAAGGATTTGGTGGAGGGGTGAAACTACAGTATGAGTCAGGCAACATCTTCCCCAGAATTTCATATTCAAACCTGCAATAGCCTTTCAAGATCTGGTACTTTGCGCTAAGTCTTCCTTGTGTGTTTGGCAAGGTGGAGTCTTTGTACACTGACACCTGGTATGGAGTCACTTCTTTTAAAAAAACTGGTGTAAAGACAGCTGTTACCCAAAATTTGGATTTAGAGGTTCTTCATGAGATGCTTGGCAACCCACTTCTCATATCCTTGTAGTGCAGCAAAGCACAGCTGTCATGACTCCCAGGTGGTGTTGGAATAGTGGGATGTACTGTAGCATATCAATACCACCACCAACCAATTTCAGGAATGTCAAAACACCCATAAATCTGCCTTTAACCTTGAACTGAAACACTTCTGGTAAGTTGGACAGCATTCTCATCAAGGAATGCAGGCACCTGCTCATTTTCAAAATATGGTCATTTCAGCATAAGGTTTTGAAGAGGGAGAGATGGCATCCTTACACACCACCATCCAATTGACGCTGCCAACACTACTCATATCTTCCAAACACAATTGGCCATGTACAGCTGGCTGCTTAAAGTGGTCCAAATGACGACAATTCCCCAGTTTCTATTCAGAATGGCGTAGTATGCACCCCATGTAGGACAGAATTGTCTGAACAAAAGCAGGCTCCTTCCCTGGGGAAGAAACCACATTCTCACCTTGTGAATCATGATCTGGGTCAGCAGTGCTCTGCACCCTTTCATCACTCCCTCAAACTGCCTTCCAACACGCCTCTTAGTGAAGGGGTCCTCTGACACGCCTGTGTCTGTCTTAGAAATCTTCTGCGGGCTGCTTGGCCTCTCTTTGTTGGCAGTGCTGGCTGTGCTGCAAATTGACGCCTTCTCAGACGCTGTGTCTGTCTCTGCGCTCTTCCCTGCTTTCCTCGCTTTCTTCTGCGAGCCTGCATCCACCTCTGAAGCTGGTCTTTTCGCGCAGACCTTCTTTGCCTGAGTCTGCCCTGCCATCTTTGCGTCAATCAACGTCAGCCTTTGCTCCTTCACTGTTCTGGTCTATCTCCTGGGATAGGGCGTGCCTTCATCAAAGTCCATCCTGTCAACACAGCTGTCCCTGTCGACTGTCCCGTCAGAAAGACCGCTCTCCACTCGAAGCGCCATCAGATTGCAGCGCTTCTAAGGCTCTGTCAGCTGCCAATCTCTCTGCTCACATTTGAGTGCATGCTGCACAATGAAGCGCAATCTATCCTGAATGAATGCTAATCTGTCATTGTCCAATTATGGTGACAAAGCACACAGTTCCTTAGATTGTCTACTCGAATCAATACGGCGCCCGCTCAGAGAGGAAGCGCTCCCTTCCTGAGACCTTCCGTTTGATACAAGCCTGCTAGGTATCTGACTCGCGCACGAGGGGATTGTGACTTGGCGTGACGGCCACCTGTCTATTGTGACACACTCCCGCCGCGAGATTCCTTCTGTTTCGTGACCAGTACCATACCAACTCAGACCGGATCTTCGATTGTCACCTTTGAAAGCATCGTCAATTTACACTGCAATGTCAATTCGTCGTCGAATGAGGGGGTTCCCTGCATGAATACAGTGAATTCCCAGTCCGGGACGAGCGGGGGACGAGCTCGGTCGCGTTCCCGAAAGCACAAAACGACAAAATTCCTCTTTGAGGCAGGAGGGAAAATGCGGAGGCTCGTTTCGAGGAACGTCCCTGCAGTGTCACGCATGCCGTCCGATGTGAGGACGAACGGGCAGGTGACGACTGCGCGGCTGCGGAAATGATTCCTAAATTCACTGACTCACCAAGAATCCGCACATGGGCTTCCAGTGTCGCAGAGGACTGCGTCACGGTGACAAGCTAATATAAGGGATTGCAGTCGGAACCTATCCGGCAGCTTGCCGTCGCGACCATTTGTTGGGCCGCCAGTTGCGGCCGCGCGGCATGATCCCAAACGGGTTTGGAAGGGTTTCTGACAACGCGCCGCAAGTTGGTCGGCCGGTCCGCCGGCCCAAGGTCCAAATGGATACTTGCGCGCGCGGCTGCGCGCCAAAAAAAACAGTGTAGGCACTCTGGAAGCTTTGAAAAAGTTTCCTTCCTGGCACATTCCTTGCATGATGATGAAGGCGGCCACATGAATCGTCCTTCAAGCTGAGTCGAGGCGAAGAAGGGACAGAGCAACCGTTTTATCTGAAGGCAAAAAGCAAGTCAACAAGAGAGCAGCAAATCAGCAGAATGAGCGCTTTCCAGCGGTGCTTGATTCTAGCTGCGGAGGTTGCTGCAAAGACGGAAGCTGCAGCTGCTGGGGGGCTGACAAGCTCAGCAAAGCGTCGGGGCAAGAACTTTTTTGAGGTGGTCGCAGATCTGCCGAACTGGGGGGTGGGGTCGAAGCTGCGGCGGAAACCCTGGAGCGAGACAGAGTATTACGAAGTTACAAAAGTCAGGGTGAAGTCGCATGTGAGTGGAATCGCTTGAGTAATCAACAAGGCATAGGAGAAGTTTTTTGAGGATGGAATGATTTTGAGAGTGCTAACATTGCCATTCCTGATGGTCTGGAAAATGCCATTCATCTGTTTACGCTGTTCCGGAAAGGGTTTGAGGCGTTGTTGCGAACCCGTTGAAGACCAGATTTTCAAGCCCCGCGCCGCGCGTGGCGCGCCTTTTAGTCTCAGAAGGTTTAATGACAGGGAATGTCAATTGGAGAATCATGCAGCAATGGGACTGCTGGGACTGCTGCTAACTTGCCTTCCAAATCAGGAAGCGCTTGTTTGCATTAGCCAGTCAAGATGAGCAACTCTGCTCAGTGACAACTTCTGAGGCCTCTAATTGAATTGGCAGTCGTCGTTGAAGGCACAGATTCTTTTGTGAGACTTCCTGAATCAGCCTGCGCTGTACATACCACCACCATGCGTTACTCTTTATAACACCGTCTGTTTTTTCAACCACATCCCTTTTGGAATTCCTTAGAGATGTTGGTGGTGTGGTTTTCCTTGCACAAAGGCTTCTCTTGTCTTCTCGTAATCACTAGAGGGTGGTACCGCAGAAAATTTGATGAACTGTTTTCCCCACTCATTTCACAGGATGGACGATCAGGGTCAGCATGGGGCCTCTGGTACTCTTCCCCGTTTCACCCGGGCCCGGCAGAGGAGCAGATTCGGGGCCTAGCAAAGCATGACTGGAAAGTTTCTGCGGACACAAGCGAGCAGGTGTCCTGGAAGGAGGCATACCGGGAACCGAAGACAAAGCCAAAGGCGGAGGCGAGTTGACAAGTGACAGAAGATTGAATGGGAGCGTTTCTGAGGTTTGAAATAGAAGTCGGGATTGTGCTGTAGTTGGGTACAGCAATATATCCCACAGTCCAGGATGTATAGATTGAACATTGTCGCCTCTGGAACTCACAACCATTTTGTGTATCAGGGAAACAGACTGTACTTGATTGCCATGCCCACTCTGAACCTGACTCTGTATGAGTGTGGGCGTGATTCGCTTGAGCTGGTCCACATATGAAGCAGATTTTGGGTATACTCCTCAACTTGGAAGGATGAGACACGTCTGGGGGCGCTCGCAAATAATGGCCCACCGCTTCTTCACGCCAGCTTTGATACTGTCCAAGGCGTGCTGGCACCTTCTTCCTGTATGATGGTCTGTTATGCCTTCAAGGTGTCTCGCTTCCGAGTTATGGGAGACTAGACCAGCTGCTTAACCTTCCTTGGGCCGCATGTTTGTATACTGTGTTTCAATCAAGTGATCTTTCTCACGAGCAGCACAGATTAGCGTGTCCCTATCAAGTGCTTCCTTCTCAAGAGTTGCTGCTCTCGGCTCTATCCTTCAGTTCGGCCCTTTGCACTTTGTTGAAGTTTTGAGCGCCAGCGGTGATTTGCTCTTCTTGCCGTTTTTCTTCTTAGAGAAATACTGCCTTTTCAGTTATGCAGAGTTGTGCTCTTGGATGGCTATGACGCCCAAGGGATGCATTGGAAGCAACCACTCTTCTTCCTTCGGAAGGTCGTCCTGAGCCACTTTTGGTCCTTAAGCAGCTTCGATTTGAGGAATACTGTTGACTATCTTGGTGTTCTCTTTTGTGGACCCCAGAATGCAGGATCCCATTTGTGTGTGGGCTTTACGAGGATTGCGCTTGCTGCTACCAAGTCTACCCGGCTGCAGTCTCTCGTACATTTCTACCAATGGCCTTTTGATTGCCATTCTTGGTTTCTCCCTGTCCTGATTTTGACATCTTATTTCAGAAAGAGGCGGCTGGCTCGCAGCACACGCTTTGAAAGTTTTCGGATCTGTTATCTTTAGTGAGAGCAGCAGATTTAGGAGCGGCTCCAAAAGAATTGCTCAAAAACAGACACGCTGAATAGTTCTGGTCTTGCGCCCCACTCAGTTTGAAAAGATTTCGGGGAAACAATCCGATCATGACTATCTAATAGGCCCTGTTGAAGAGCTCAGGAAGCACGATGCCCTTGCCCACATCCATAAGATTCTCTCCTCGATCATTTCTTGTGGTTTGTACGCCTGCTTGTCGTATCGCTCTGCTCTTTGGAAAAGTTTGCTCCATGGCATGTCATAAAAAACTGCTATGCTCGAGGTGCTCTCCCGGGGCCAGCTTGCCGGCCCGCGCCTTGCTAGGATTGTATTGAGCGCGCTTATCTTTCTTCAGAGTCACCTTTTCCGGCTTCTGCCTGTTCAGCAAATCTCGGCGTCCTTGATTGCTGTGGATCCGATAGCCACCTCTGTGAGCCTCTTTGTCTCACTCCCAAGCCGTATGCTAGGGCTGTGACGCATTGCCTGGGCTAATCTTGTCCAGATAAAGTTTTGTTGCCGATGCTCCCCGTTCAAACCGTCGATTATCGCTAGAATCTGTTGGGCTAAAAGCCAGGGGTCTGCTAAACAAAGAAGCAGGGTCCCTCATCTGCAATTTCTTGGTGCCTTTCGTTTTTAAAACGTTTCTTTCAAGTCATACTATCCGCGCAGAAACCTAGGGCCTTTCCAGTCAGCACAAGTTATGCGCGGTCTTTCAGCTCTTTTGGCTCCTTGTGTCTCGTGTTCTGCTTAGTGATCCCATTTGACCTCCAGGCCGCGCTTGATTCGTCAAGCCGGTGGTCCTGTGAGGCGACCAGTGCAGCCAGACTCTGGTGAAGAGGTCGTCGGATTCTGCCCTCACGTCTTGTGTCTCTTGGCAGGAAACCCCCGTGAAAAGTACGCGTATGTTTCTTGTGCGTCCATAAGCGATAGAGAAAGCTCGTGTTTTAGTCGTTTTGGAATGTCTCTTCGTTAGACCAGATCTTGCTTGAGTAACTTTTCCGTTGATTGCATCGCCGTTCAAGAACGTGAAGCAGGAGCATGGCGGCAATGCTTAAAATTTTCTAAGAACGCAGGCTTTAGAAAGCGGTCTAGATACAGATTCTGAGCCAATGCCTGTTCAATGGAAATTGCAGATCTTCCTGACTCAAGTTCCTGCCGCTTTGCTGGACTAGATTCATCTCGGTGCTCTGCCAGGCTGCGCCCAATTTTGACTTTCCAAGTTATTCAGATTGCGTGCTTCCTGAGCCCTCCTCGAATCGTATCATTGAACTTATTGTATCGAACAGCCTCAATTTGCTTGTGAACCAAGATTGTCTCCACTTCACAAGTTACCGAGTGCTTCTCTTTTGCGACAGTTTCTTATGTTGGCTGGCAAGCTTCAGGTGCCAATAGCAAATCCAAGTACGACAAGTCTGGTGGTCCAGCAATTGCAACAGCCAAGAACTCAAAGGCTGCGTCCGAGCATCCCGCTACTGGTAGGAAATCTCCTTAACCGGACTAGTAAGTCAACGTGGCTGTGAGGACTCTCTGGCCTCCTCTTGGGCCATGAACAGTGCCGGATTGTTATCTGACGCCACAACAGTGCTGCGCCACATCCGCTGCTGATTTCCAATGAGTAGCCAAGAGGAGTTTCAAGACCTTCGAGGATTTTCCGTCACTGGAAAACTGGTGCTGCTCTGGGCCCGATCCAGACTTGTGTATCTTGCTTCTTAAATGGTGTTTTACTGTTCGTGCTTCTTCTCATGCGACCGCGCTGCACTAGTTGCTTAGGAAAGCATGTGACTGAAGCCCTAGACTGATTGTATGGTTCTGGAGGTACATTTGGTTCGTGGTCCGTTGGTCAGGGCCTCGTCAGGAGCTAGGGCTCATACCAAATATCGAAAGAGCACCTCAAATCAAAACGAGCCCTGGCGGACTTCCTGTCCTGTCGAGCATTGCTTTCAGTAGCTCGCAGGAAGGATGACGTTACAATGAAATCGATCGAATGACGCTCAATTGTGGGCTACGAGGAGCCGCTCCTGAGACGTTGCTTGATTCAGGGCACGGGCACTAGTTCTGATGCCAGTCGTTCTTAGGCGTTTGCTTGGTAGTCTATGTTGCACATGACAATCGTTTCGCTGGAGGCTTGGTTTTTTCCGATTGTACCACGATTGCATCTTCAAGCTGCTAATGGGTCATGCCTGTCTCTGTCTCCGTCTCTGTTCGTCTGGCCTGTTGCCATTGTTCGGCGAGTCCGAAGTCGTCGCTTTCATTGCCGAGTCCTTTTGTGTTCTGAGGTTGAGCTAGAATCTCGTTATTCAGCCACCCTTGGAACGACGTGTAACGCAATTGTTTGAGCGACGTATGCTTTCAAGTCACCGATAATTTTGTTGGAATCAGTCGCTCATAATCAAGCCCTCTACGGTGGAGCACGTCCTTCCGCTTTCTTCCGTTTTCCTGGGGCTTCGTGGTCTTCGTCTGGGTTGGAGTGACTCATCCCGCTGACACGCTGCCCTGCATTTCTCTTGAATTTTGGACTTGGGAATTCTGTTGGTGTGCCTCCCGTGCTCCACCTCCGTTACTGCTCCATATTCACCTCCGTTACTGCTCCATATTCACCTCCGTTACTGCTCCATATCCTTGCTCAGAAAGTCTTTTGCGTGCAACTGTGGCGGGTTTGGCTGGTTGCTTTTCCTCTGCAGTTTCTCATTTTGCAAGCTTTTAAGAGGGTTTCCAAGTATTAGGGCCTTTCAATCCTCTTGCGTGTAACGCTTGATATCGGGGGTGGAGACATGGCTACTAAGTCTATCAACCCAACGGTGGCTGTGATGAGTGCTTGGCCACCTCAAGGGCCACACTGACACCGTGCCGGCTGTGTCCTTATTGGATGCTAACGTCCTCAACTTGTCGAAAGTGGGCGTCTTCCCGTCGGCCTTTGTACGTCAAGCCCAATCTCAGTACGACAACTTTAGGAACCATACCGCCTTTCAGGAACCCCGAAGGAGGATCAAGCTGCACTTATGAAAATGCTTCTAGCGCGCCCACTTTGAAATCGTACCTCCTCATCCCGAGCCAACTTCTTCTTTTGAACGAAAAACCATATCGCCTTTCAAATTCCAGTCCACCTTGCATGGCCTCTATTGATTGGGCCGTCCTGTCTCACAAGCCACTCAGCTTGCTCGCTCCTCGAGCCCTCGTTGTTTTAAACGTGGGTGTATCCAGCTTGAGGTCAACTTTCTGGTACAAAGCATTGTTTGTCTGATGTGCTGGTCTTCGAATGCGGGGATCTGGCTGGCTAGCTTCAGGTGCCTCCGCATTTCGTGTGCAGTGCTCGAGAAAGCCTAGTGAGGCCGTAGAGGTTTACGCCGCTCGCTGTTGGTGAGCAGACCAATCGTAAGTAGTTGCCAGTGGCTGTGATGACTGCTTGGGTTGGTCTCATTTCGGGCCATTGGTACACCGCCGACATTTCCGATGCCACATACGGTGCGCCAAAAACGGTTGCTCAGTTTCATTTGATCGTCATAGAGAATCTTTGTTCCGTCATAAATGCGTAAATGTCTCCCCTCAGGAAGATGCCGCTTCGTGGCCCAATCAGGACTTGCTTGTCTTGCTTGGAAACTTGTTGCAGGATTATAATTCATTGCTACGAGGGGCCTGTGACTACCTGCTCTTGCCGAAGCGGCGCGCAAACCGCCATGTTCAGTCGTCGCTCTGCAAGCATAGTCGGTTTCTGCACGACCTTGTCAGCGAAGCACACCGCGTTTTCAAGAACACCTTGAAAGGGTCCTACTTTTCCTGTCAGGCTCACTTACAATTGCATGTTTACTCGTAGCTTCGATCTGCTACACGTAATGGGAGACAATCACCTCGTTAGATGAACGAGGGCCATGATTAACCACTACTGAGGTTCCCGGTTGACTCAGGAAGACTTTCATCGCGGTTCTGACGCCCGACCGCATTCTTGTCCGGGGTTGCTTGACCGCCACGTGTCGCTAATGAAAGGTTGGTTTTGCCACCTTTCCATCTTCAGATGGGCCCCAGGATTTCACATTTTTGCTGCTAATGTCCGGAGCCTGAACTTCAGCACCGACTCAATCACAACAACCTGCTTGTGCTCCGCCCGGGCATCGCACGCAGCCACGCTCCAGGAGGCCCCACTCTGGCACATTTCAACAAGCCCTACTCTTAAGGAGGTTTGTCTTGTTCCGCATCACACGGTTAAGCCTCACGAACTGGTCTGTTGGGGAGAGCGAGCACCAAAGTGACAACGCTCAACGATTTTGCTTCCACCTCTCATATATTTCGCTGCTTTAGTTCGAGAGAGGATTCTGGATCCCGCGGAACATCCGGACGTACTAGGTATCGTGGGCGAGTATGTTTCACGTCTTTTAGTCAGCAGATTTCCCCCAGCATCAGGGTCGATACGAAATAGCCTGTTATCCCGCCGTCTTCCAACTTTCTCGGCTTGTTTGTGTCTCACGGTCCAGAATGCGGTTGATCCAACTTGTAGGCCCTTGCCTTGTTGGTTGCACTGTCAAACGCGCATCTCTTCCGATTGGTTTGTTCCATGGTTCCAACACCATCAAGTGTCCTGATCATCCTGAATTCAAACCCCCTGCTTGTAAGATCGTGGGCGGCTTTCGCTGGTCGATTTCTTGGCATTCCTCTTTCCGCAATCTCTGGTGCAACATTAAAGCTCGGTGTGCGCCAAATAAGTTTTGCTGTTCACGTCGAAACACACTCCCTTAATTACGACCATTCCAGCGGTGGCTGTGACGACTGCCTGGTCACCTTTAGGGCCAGCGTTTTGCTTGTATAAATTCCAAATAGCATCCGTTCTGATCTTAGATCTCGTGCGGGCAGTGCGCGAACTTCTCGGTTTTGAGTCTGAAGGACTACCGTGGTTAACCATAGTAACTCTGTTGATTTCGCGCGCTCGGATTGGTCCGTCTGCGTACTCTCTCTGCGGGCGTTGCATCAGCCAGGTTTCTAGTCGTGAAGACGTTCTGGATTGGGCTCTGAAGCGGAGCTCCTTCTTTGTCCGTCAAACCCCGCAGCATTTGATTTGCTCATTTGGAACGTTGGGAATGTTCTTTGAAGATCTTCCTTCCTGTGCTCAGTTTGTCTGGGTCAGAAGTCGACTGTGGCTATGACGATAGCCTGGCCTTACGGCCATGTTCCTTTTTCGTCGCACTTCGGACGCCACCTGTATTCACCTGTATTTCGTCTACCAGAGACCAAGGTCGATAGGGTCTAGCATATTGTTCAGCCGCGTTTCAACCAATTAGGCTTCTCTGTATCTTACGTCCAGACTGCAACTTCCAGTTTTCAGCCCCGGCTTTTTTGCCTGCAGTGTCAAATCTGCATTTCTTTCCGGCTGGTAATAACATTGGTTCTGTCACCGTCAATGCTCCATATTCTGACTTTGACATACCCTGCTTGTGGCTCTTGATGGTTGTTTCTTCATTTTTCTTGCGTGCAGTTTACAGGTGTTGCAGCTTTTGAAAGTTTTCTGACATGTTTCAGTATAGCGAACGAGACCAACGGTGTCTGTGACGACTCCTTGGTCACCTACCAGTCTGGCCAGTTGCTTGCCTTGGGTCTTCGGATGCTACCCGTTGTGTATTTCAGTCGTGTGGAGGCGTTCGAGTTCTTGGGAACAAATGAGCCCATAAGAGTACCATTACTGACTGAAGTAGATTCTCTGTCACCCGTCCGATCTGCTCGTTTCAGTGCGGAGAAATGCAATGCGGGCTCGGCACCACTCGCTCCCAATCTCTGAGTCGTGTATGGTTCGCCCCGGACTCAAGGCTCTCTGCCTGTCTTCAAACCCCGCAGACCTAGTTTTTCCATCTGAGAGCTCAAAAGTGCGCGATAACATTCCTCTTCTAGTGCACCCATTCATGTTTCTAGGCCAAACTGCGACTGTGGCTATGAGGAAAGCGTGCATGGTTGTATTCTGGCCAAACCGTGTCTACTTCAGACGCCATCCGCGGAAAACTTTTGCCAACAACTCTGTGGATCCATTCATTTACGGTATGGTCTGTCTGGGTCTTTTGTGTAGCTCTTTGGTCTTCTGCCACGTTATGACGCCGCTGTTTATACGCAGCGCATACCAAAGCTAGTGGGTCGTGAACGCTCAACTTCGGCGACACACCAAATCTGCCCTTGGACTTTCGAGTCGCCGCGGTTGAAAGAATACCCCGGTGGTCCTGCCAAGGACCGTTGTGCCAGTTCGATGAGATTGTCGTCAGTCCCGGGGTACTGACGACAGCCCGTCCGCCCCAGCCTTCTTTCAGGACCCCGGCTCGAGAAGGACTTCGCCTGCATTCTTAAGCCTCTTGAAAAGTATTGAGTGTTTCCGAAGTTCCTGATGGAAATCGTTTGCTGAGTAAAGCCCAACCTCGTCGTCGACAGAATGTACTCTTTGCACCCGTCTTCCAAGGACGTCCGGAAGAGGAGCTCGGCGGCAGGTTTTGGAGCTATACTGAGAGGACATGTTTTCCGGATAGTGTCTCCAAGCCCTGAGCCAGTCCTTCTTTTCCGACGTTTACGCAGACTCCGCCAACTTATAGGATTCGGTCTTCTTGGCGGGCTCCATTCATGTGGCCGGCCTGCTGTCTCACACCTCATTGCTCAAGGTTGCTTGCTCCTTGACCGCACGTTGTTCTGGAAGACTTTGCTTCTAATTCTTGTTCAACTTCACAATAGCATCTACCCCAATGACGTTTGATGATGTAAATTCCTGGTTCGATCTGTACCTTTATATCTATTATGCGATACCTGCAACAGTCTGGTGCGGAGGCTTGGAGGCCGCCGTTTGAAGACTCGAAGACGCGCTGTATGGTGGGTTGCCCTCTCACAGGCAGTAAACCGTGGCAGTGACGACTGTACGGCTGGTCTTCTTTGAGCCATTTGCAGTACCTTCTTTTCTTCTCCGATGCCAGTGCATACGCTGCTTCACATGCGCTGTCAATATCTTCCTTCGATCATACCCACGAACGTAATTTCTACCGTCAGGACGATGCCGCTAGCGCGTAGCCCCACCCACTTGTGTGTATGTTGCTTCTCTTTAAGTTGATGGACTACCGACGCTGTAAAGCTCGTGGGTTTGTGCTTATGCCGAAGCGACCGCGCAGGCCGCTACAACATGGTAGTAACTTGAAACCGTTGAGTTTGAAGTTTCTTGTGATCATGTAACATGCTTGATTTACTGTCAGGCCTCGTTGGGAGCTGGGTTACTCACACCGGATGCTCAAAGAGTAATTCAAGAGTCCTGTTGGGCATTCTATCAATCGCATGGATGCTGAAAACATCTTGAAACGATTACCAGGTTCGGTAAAGCCAATTTATCTGATCGACCCTTGACTGTGGGAGCCGCTCCTGAGACCTTGGTTGAGACCTTGGTTGTTTCAGATGTATACATAGTGGATCTGATACCAGACGTGTTTGGGCGTCCGCTTGGTGCCCCATGTCGCTCATGAAAGCTGCTTTCGCCAGCCTTTCAACCCACCACGTTCTAGCTCAAAAGTGTACCCCGCACATCCGCAACCCAAAAACCCAAAACCCTAAAACCCTAAAACCCTAAAACCGCTGTTGTGCCTGTCTTTGTCAGGTCCGTTGCGTTGAGCGATCTTCAGGTGTCGTCGCTTGTCCGCTTTCACCTTTCCACCTTAATCTGAGTTCGTTATGCTTCCCTACTTAGCTAAGTAGTGATTTAACATGCCGGCGACGTTTGGTGGGGCATCGATACCAGACGTTGTGAGCGCTTCAACACGCTTTGAGGTCTCACGTTTCGTGTTCCGAGTCAGATCCCATCCTTCAAAGGATGCATGCCTTTTCCAAGAAGCATGTTATATGGCCGGTTTATCCGTTCGATGGGTCCTGTCTTTTTCCTCTCTTTTTCATCTCCAGGTTGCAGTACTTGAGGCGCGCTGCGTCTCCGGCTCGAGTTTCAGGCTTGCATCTCTTTTCCCGTACGGTGCGAGATGCTTTGATTCCAGCACCGCTCCTTTTTTAAGAACCACGCTAACTCCTGAACTCCCGGCAGCTCTTCGGCCCCTGGCTCATTTTGGCCTAGCTGATGGCGAGCAAATTTTGGGATGTCCAGCGGGGGTCCAACGCGGTGTTTTTGCTAGACGTACCGTGACTTTTTTGGGGGGGAATAAATATGAGTCTACAGCAGGTTTGATCACGGCGGCACACTCTCTGCACACGCTGGCACGCGCTGGCGACAAACACGAGCGCTAGCCACGCGTTGAGGACTGTAACGGAATATCATGAATTGGCTAACTTACCGGAAAAGAGCAGACATATACATGACAAGCCATCCTACACATGTTTGCTCCTTTCCACTCGCAATCACGGGGCGAGTGAGACAGTTTTGCGTCCATGCCCTCTTGGCAACTTGTAATATATTGAATAGATTGATGTGCCGAAGGCTATGATATCAATGATACGAATGGCAGAGCCGGAAGCATTCTCACCACCTGCGGTCCCCAAGATAGCAAGAAAAATCTTGTCTGTCTCTCTGAAGAACAAGTCGGACATTTGTTCCGTCTTTCATGCTTCAATACGAAATAGCACTCCGATAAATGGCATGGTGATTATAAAATACCATGAGAATCATGAATAATCCACATGCCAAGAAGCAGAAATGGACGATGTCCTCAAAGCGGCATCCAATTCAATGAAAGGTCTTGCTAACTGACTACACTGTAGTTATGATAGTTAGTTTGAGTCTCGTTTGAGTCCGGGGAGGGTTTGAGTTCTTTCCTTCTGTTGTTTGTAGTAAGTTGATAAGTTGCAAACCTAAGCTCTACTTTGGCTAAGTCCCGAGAAAAGCAGAAAAGTATTCTGCGACCGTCAAAGCTTGTGGGAGTCGGACTCCCACAAGCTTTGCCCAGCAGAGCTACCACCGCAAAAGTCACACTTGATCAAAAGTGACCATCAAAATATGTGACGCAGGAAGTCACAAGATCGTGCAAAAGCATTGGGAGGGGACCTTTGACCTTTGACCTTTGACCTTTAGGCTTTGACCTTTGCAACATAGCATGTGGACCATGTCGTCATGTCAACATCCCGACTTGTTTCTACACAGACGGACACGTCACATCACAGAACCCCCGCCTGCCACCTGGAGTCAAAAAACTATTGCGCAGAGGCTTGTAATGATTATTATAAATGATTGAAACGTGGCAATCTTTGCTTGCGGTCTCTTGACCGACATTTCCGAGAAAGACGGTTGTTCGAGACCGCGCAGTTCAATATCCGATTGCCACTGTTGGAGAGGGATTCCGCATTACCTGGCAGTGGTAGAAAGGTCATGTCCGGAATGGAACGCACCGAGAGCCTACACCCTCGCCGGTTCCAGGAACTTGTAAACTGCTTTGGAACGGGGTACTAGAACAGCAGACGTGGAACTGAGGCACTAGGGCTGACCTTGATTAGAGTTGTGCCAGCTCTATCGTTTGAATGCTCCGCGTGTGGCTGCTTTATGGGCATTGGTGCACGAGCTGGTCGTGCCCCTCTGCAATCACAGGCAACAGCGCAGGACTGCACTGAAGTTGGTTGGTGCAGGAACCACAAAGGTGACTCTTTACATTTTGCCGTTTATACTGTCAGCTCGGAAGTCCGGGTTGCTATTGCATGTTGCCTGCATTGGTTGATATTGCGATGCTTTCCATGCTGAGCACTTGTGTTGAAGAGGCGCAGTGAGCAAAAGAAGGAGCCGGAAGCTTAGGGCAGAGAGGAGGATCCTTTGCGCGATTCAATCTTTTTAGGGTGGTATGGTGCCAGAGTCTAGCTTGACATTGTAATATGTGCAGGCTATCGGGCTGAGGTATCCATCGATGTTCTACATTAGCCAAATTAGAAACCTACGGAACGCCTTCCAGAAAGAGACCGTCTGCAGAATTATCCTTCCAACTCTTGAAAGCCAAGCAACCCCACTTGACTGGCAGTGTCTTCTTTTCGCAGGTTGACACCCTGATTACTGGAAGGCACATGAGCAGTTCGCTATGGATGCACCAAACCTGTTTGTGAGGATGCTAATCCTGGTGATCTTGTATGAGTGCGGGCTCAAGAGTGGTGTTCATGCGTCCACTATTGAGCAGATTGGCAGTCTGGTCGAGGGCCCCCTTGAGAATCAAAGTAGTATTTCATTATCATTTAAGGGATTGTCAGGTCCCATCCCACCCGAGCTCGGCAGCCTGATCAACCTCGACTACAGCTTGGTCCTTGCCTATAACAACCTTTCCGGGCCCATCCCCCCGGAGCTTGGCAGCCTGACCAACCTGATTTACTTGGACCTCTCCAACAACAAGCTCTCCGGGCCCATCCCCCCGGAGCTCGGCAGCCTGACCAACCTCCGTGACTTGGACCTCACCTACAACCGCCTCTCCGGGCCCATCCCCCGGGAGCTCGGCAGCCTGACCAACCTCACTGGCTTGCACCTCGCCTCCAGCGGCCTCTCCGGGCCCATCCCCCCGGAGCTCGGCAGCCTGACCAACCTCGCCGACTTGGACATCTCCTTCAACGACCTCTCCGGGCCCGTCCCCCCGGAGCTCGGCAGCCTGACCAATCTCCCCGGCTTTTCCATCATATACACCAATGTCTCCGGGCCCATCCCCCCGGAGCTTGGCAGCCTGACCAACCTCACTTACGTGGACCTCCGTTCCAACAACTTCTCCGGTCCCATCCCTCCGGAGCTCGGCAGCCTGATCAACCTCGCCGGCTTGTACCTCTCCGGCAACAAGCTCTCCAGGCCCATCCCCCCAGAGCTTGGCAGCCTTATCAACCTCGCCGACTTGTACCTCCACCGCAACGACCTCTCCGGGCCCATCCCCCCAGAGCTCGGCAGCCTTACAAACCTCACCGACTTGTCCCTCGGCCACAACGACCTCTCCGGGCCCATCCCCCCG